AAATAAGGGCGAGATATCGTGTAGTCTTACAAATGGGTCATAGAGGACGGGGCGAGATGCTTCTATTTTATACTGGAATAAGGAACCTGGATTGTGTCTTCGCCGTAAAAAGAAAAAGAACCCGGCACAAGAATTTAGTGTCCCACTAAAATCAATACTCTTTGTGAATAAAATATTTGATTCAAGTATTAATTGTAAGCTTAAGTCGAAACATAGGAAAATATAGTTTATATTGGTTTTTGTTGAGGCCCCCTGAAAATGAACCACAGGCACTTGTTTCGTATAAAAGGCATCGATTCCTACTTATTTTTACCACAAGGTACCTAACTCAATTTCAGCCATCCCGCTTCAAGCCAATGTTTCATCATTTCATCAATCATCAACCTACTTCAATAAACACTAGTTAACTTCTAGAGACTTTTCTCTTTTCAAATATATTGTACCAAATGTCCTTGATCAAGCCTCATTATTGTAAACCATTTATTTATTCCTCTAAAATTACCTCGCGACAAAAGACTTTTTTAAAGACAGGATACAGGGGATTCCAGTAAGTGATATAGTGTAGGATAAAAACAGAAACTTCTGATTTCATTCTAACTAAAAATTCAGAAAGGTCACATAAGTATTAGAAATATCAGTCAGTGACAGGTAAGAAAAGATCCTGGGTTGCTGCCATCTGGGGTCAATAGAAGGGAGGAATGTGGTGCTAAGGAAGGTTCGATTCCCAGTGAAAAAATATTGCAGTTAGCAACTTATGATTCAGAGGCATTTAGGATGTGAATCTAGGACTATATCGTTTCTCTTATCACCGATTACATTTAAAGCTCTGATTGAAGGCACTTATAATTTTCTCTACTATCGTTGATTGGTGCAGCTAACTAGTGAAGTGATGTGCATGACCAATTAATTCGAGGAGAGGGAAATCTACATTAGGATATCCTTTATCAGGACTAACAGAGAAAACAGTGGATCGCAGTAATTCCTAAGCTTTGAAACGCTTTTGGAATCTTGAAATCATATAAGGGATATCTACCAACAAAAACACCACTCACAATATCAGAACATACCGTAATACGAAGACAATATATAGAAAACATTAAATTGGATGCAACAAATATTATGCAAAAAAATCATAATAAACAAAATCTTGAACAACTTTACAGTTCAACAGCGTAGTCAAAAAGATTTAACAGGCAAATAAAAATCGTTTTCCCCACAGAAATATGAAGACTTAATTGCGGATTTGAAAAAAAGAAACAAACAGAATACTAAGCATTAGCTGACAGGATACAAGACGGCACCAATATGTCAACAAATATGAAAAAATAATGTCACTTTACTGCTCTAAATCTTTGATAATAGACTACATCCAGATATAGTGCCGTATATAATACATTTTAACACGATCTTAGGTTTCGTCCGTCGCAACCGACATATTTTTGATGTTACATGTATTTTCTTTTTACATCAACAATATTAAATTCTTATATGCTGGTAATTTGTTCTAGCAATAGCGTCTGTTTTTACAACTATTTCATAATTCCATTCCAGAGTTCATTTTCATTTTATTCCACTATGCAAATTCTTTCTGTGTATGCTGGATTCAGGGGAAAACGAAGTTAATGGTCGCCGTATCCTTCATCGCGTCCATCTACTCGCATCTGTTCATTTTTGACTTATGCTCCCGCTACTGAAGATTATTCGGAATTATATAGTTTTTGCCATGACCATCTGTCTGTCTCGTTGTCTGTCTGTTAACCCGCCAAAACTTTAACCTTGCCCATTGAATTGGTGGAGCTATGACTTTCACATTTCAAAGGTTTATTCCTTGTAACAAGACTTTTTTTCGGGTTTCACCGAATTTAACCTCTTGACATTCGAGTTTGGCACACTTTTACAAACAAATATGGAACTTTAACCTTGGCCATAACTTTTGAACAGTTGCTGCTAGGGTATTCATACTTCATACGGGTATTTATTGAGACAAGACCTTTCGATGGATATAAATATTTTTTTTTACCTTGACCTCAGAGTTTGACCCACTTTTCAAAAACTTTAACCATGGCCATAAGTTTTGAAAACTTAGAACTAGGACTTAAATATTTCACATGTGTATTCCTTGAGATAAGACCTTTCTCTGGATACCAAGAATGTTGATCTTGGATTCTGATTTACATTTGAAAAACTTCAATCTTTGCATAATACAGCCACAGGGGGCATCAGTGTTTCACAAACACATCTTGCTTTTCTCCGATTTGTAGTAAAAGGGCGTCATCTTAATGTTTAATGTATATCTTAATGTACCTCTTTTGATTAGGTTATCACTTTCCCAACATTTCAGCAGAAAAGAAAGTGAAGGGACTCACTTCGTCTTTACATTCTCTTGAATCCGACGATACACAAAATACCGGTATATCATATAATATCATAGCTGAATAGATATGTAAATGTACGTAGGATAATTAACACGAACATGCTTTTTAGTTTGAAACAGTAAAAAATAATCAAAAAGAATGAAAATAAAAAAAAACATACGAGAGATTTAATAGATTTGTGTATGATCTGGAATTAATGCGGAAATTAATTCGTCGTTAATGATTTTGTCGTGTAAGCTTCTGTGCGAAAAATTTGCATCCAGACCAATACCGCTATACATGTATACAATAACCGTCTTTTCTGAAAGTCATAAAAAGGATTATTCTAAAAGTTGTTTCTCTGGACCCCTTGGTCGGATAACTGTATGCGGTAAAGATGTAGATTAATGGAAAAAGAATTGTGATTGGTACTTATCTTCGCCCATGAAAATGATTCCTAGGCTGCTTACATCTACCGAACAATTCCTTTTCAATTTGTTTCATAGGAAATACAACTGAACTTTGTGTCGCTACTATTAGAATTTCAAATATCATGGATATGTCAAGTGATAAAATCTCAACCACTTATTTTTTTAAAAAGTATATTACGCTTGATATCTCTTGAGATTCCTCTAAAATTGTGCTGTTCATGGGGCCATTGAGTTTGGTCGGTTGGTTGATTGTATGCCGTTTAACATCCCTCTCGAGAATGTTTTCACTCATATGGAGACGCCACCACTAACCGGTGGAGAGCTGCAAAATTTGTCCTATGCTCAGCACTGAGGGCCATTGAGCAGTGAGGATCTTTTTTGTGCCAGTACCTACTGCGACACGAGACCTCGGTTTATACGGTCTCATCCGAAGGATCGGTCTCCACCTCCCACAGTGGGATTCAAACCCGCGACGTAAGGATCAACTCCTTACTTCGCAACTCTAGAGAAGACACTCTAATCACTGTTCCACGCAGGCGACTCCATCGAGTTTGGGATAAAGATGTTCGATTTTGGTTTACCATACCACCGTGCACTGATAAAAAATAACCAGGTAAAGTCACTAAGAAAACTAGTAAATTTACTGTCCATACAATCACTACCTTAAGAGTAGTTTTACTAGGTATTGGGTATATTTACAATAGATAAGATAAGTAAATCTAGAATTGATGAGTAAGTTTCACTAGGTATATAGTTATCTATACGATCCCCGTTCCACAACACACTATCTTCACCAGTAAACTGAAAGTTTACTAATCACGACAAATGCTTTACGAGACACACTAGTTAAATTCACCAGGGTTTTTTTTTTTCAGCGTGGTGATCGAATCATGTAACGTGTCTTTGCAGATGCCGGTGTTCAGTCTTAATTTGCTGGCATGTACAGAGGAAGCAACAGTAAACCCAACTTAGCTATGGTCCAAATACAACTTCTTTTCCTTAGAAAGTCTGAAACTTTTAAACAAAAGTGATAGGCAAATACAAAATTACTCTATGTATTTGGTTGATTCGAACTTTCATTAATCTAATCATGGTGCCCAAGTATCAAATGTTTTTCTATATAATTATAATTTTGGATATTTATTTTATTTTAGTATAATGCATTATTTTTTAACTTTATAAAAGATTTAGCCGATAAATTTTAATCCTTTTAATGTCTTTCAGGATTGTATCAGATATAGATCTAATAAACATGATACCTGCATTAATATTTTCTCTCCTTTCATGTTAAATTTGTCTCGGATAGCAAACAGTAACCCTTATAACCGATAAATTAAACACAGTCATCTTCTCATGTTCGGTTCAAATCAAGTATCTGTTTCTATGAAAAACATGGTTACTCCCTAACGGCCTGAAGTGAATGACTCTTAAGTTTTAAATAAAACCTAAAAAGGGTTTGTTTGTTCAACACCCTTCAAGAAGTTTTCTTTCATATTCCGACACCAACACTTGAAAGTGGAGGATTGCAGAGTCATAGCAGTACTTGTACTTACGGACTATTAGCACCGAGATATTTTTCGTGCCAAAACCTATTGCGACAAGGGGAACTCACTTTATACCATCTCACCCCAGGGACTACCTCTGGGGCCATAAAACTCAGATGATCTTGCTCTTGATCTCAGTCTCACACTAAAGGAACTAAAAGTAGAAAAACGATACTGAGATGGACCCGGGGCCTGGTCTTCACGTCCGGAAATAAAATAAAATTTACATGTAAGCTCAAAAAAGTGAGCAGGCTTCTTAAGGCAAAGGCGATGTGCAAATTAGTTCAACATTTCGGGGGGGGGGGGGGGGGGGTTAAAGAGATCCATTAATTTAGTTGTGACAATGTTTTCAATTTCGCCAGGTACAGTATAGTCCAAACATAACGTATAGGTAACAACAGAGCGAACCATCAAAGCGAACTTCGGGTTCCCCTTGCGTTTTCTTTGGGTCTGTTGTTAAAAAATATGGGTGTGCTTTTGGTGCGATCTTTGGTTCGCCGTGTGTTCGCTCGGTGTCAGCTCTGAACCCGGCGTTCACTTTCACTCAAGCATGAAGCGGTCCCAGCTTATCTTGCCGCCTTTAAGCTCCACACTTCATATTTAACATGAATTAAAGATAAAAACATTTGAAAAACAAGTTTTTAATTCCAATTTAATATTTTATTTTTCAGATCTATTTCTTCGTGTCTACGAGTTTCATTTTACTGTCGATCTTCGGAGTTGCCATTAGCACGTTACCTGAATTCCGAGTAAAAGAGGCTCCACCTGAGGCAGTACCCACGGCTTCTCCTCCCCCTGACTACTGCAAGCTTCTGTACGACAAACTCACATCCTCAAAAAGTTTGGCAGTAAGTCTGAACAAGTCTATTGAACGCGATGGTTCGGATTTTATGACTAGTATTTTTCCAGAATCCGTGCACAAGAAGATCCCCTCTTTGCAGCAGACAATTGACCAAGGAACGACCGTGTTCTTCTACATAGAAATCGCCACCACCATTTTCTTCACCGCTGAGCAGGTGATGCGAATTCTTACCTGCCCTGCATTACTCGCGTACACGTGTGGCTTGATGAATATTGTTGAAATTCTGCTTCTTTTGGCCAGCTATTGTCGTTTCGTTCTCCACTTCTTGGAAATAGATTATAATGGAACCGCTTGGTCCTTATTATTGTACGTTCAAATGTTTCGTGTTCTCAGAATTGTCCGAGTTATGCGTCACGTGCTTGCCTTTAAAGTCCTAAACTACTCAGTCAAGGTTGGAAAGAAGGACCTCTGCATCATTATCATGTACATTTTCATTGGTCTGATGATTTTCTCTAACCTTGTTTTCTTTTTTGAACTATCAGAAGATTTTCGAAGCATACCGGACGCCTGGTGGTGGACATTGATCACCATGACAACGGTGGGGTACGGTGATATGATTCCAAAGACAATAGCAGGAAAATTGTTGGGTTGTGTTTGTGCTGTATCAGGGGTCATCATGCTGTCGCTCGTGATACCCATTTTTGTGAATACCTTTTTATTCTTGTACCAGTTTGCAGAACTTGAATCCGTGACCATTCCAGCCCCAAAGAAACCAAGCGAACTCAAACGAAAAGTCACTTCCGATGACACAGAGGTAACGTTTTCTTCAGAATGATCTTAAAAGGCCGCGGAGCAAAATAAAGCAAAATACTTTTTCGTGATCATCGAGGAATTTTAATCATGTTTTTAATGTATATACTTACGTGATTTTTGACTCATATAGTTTCATCGTGTATTTTATGGTTATTTTTGGATCTGCAATTGTATATAGATGCCTTTGGTATGATTATTATATATCACCAGACTATCTTTATTTTTTAAAAAAAGAGCTATTTTGTGCTATAATGAATCTAATAAAAAAATGGAAAGTTTTACATAAGAGCCCTTTGATTTATTTTTGTTGACGAAAATTCTAGTTAATTTCTTTTTCTCTCTCAGTTGATAAAATCAGTATTCAAACTTCCAAATGATGATTTTTTGCAGATTGTAAAGTATTTGAAAATGGGTGCAATTTTTTTTTATTTTGGCAAGTTAAGTAAGCATTAGCAAAATACGCTTTTACACCATTTTGAAATTTGATTGGTCTTAATTTCTCCCAGGAGGGCAAAAGAACAAAAGACTTAATAAGATCAATGGAGATTTTGTTGTATTTTCATTAATTTGGAGAAGTGCAATCTACCATAAAGGATGACAGTCATAAGAATATCTAAACTTCAATTAGTGAGATGCTGTGAAAACAAGCTTATTCAGAGAATCTTGTGTCGCCCGCTGAAGGAAAAAAGAAAAGTATATGCGGTTCTAGGGGAGAGGGGTCAAAGGGGGAGGATGGCACTTTAAGTTGGACATGGCCATGAACAGCTATGGTATAAAATTAAACTGCAAAAAAAAAAAAAAAAAAAAATCCGACTCCAGATTTTGCCCAGAAATGAAAGCTTTACACACACACACCCTCCCTCACTCACAGGGTATATGCAATTACGACCTTGATCATTGTGGAAGTCTTAAAACAGAGATTTTTTTTTTAATTTATAACCTTAAATTTTGACCTCAAAATCTATAGGGAATTTCCTTGCGGCACAGGGATTTGTTGTATAAAATTTCACTGAAAAAAAACCCCCAAAGGCTTCTTGAGGTATCATTCTGATGGGATTTTAAAAAATATCAATGACTTGTTACGAAAGGCGGTGTGATTTATTAAAGATCCTGTATATCTAGAGTACACTGTACAGTTACATAACGATTAATGCTGACCTTCCATTAACACTATCACACAGTCTTAAATAATCCGTATTATATTTTTCAATGACATTCCTATTTGACTTGTAAAATTACCTGAGAGATCCAATTAACTGATAAATAATCTATATTTCATTTTAGCGGATTTTCAGGTAGCACGTCTCGTGTACAGACAAAGTAAATGAACTTATTGTACTTCAACATAACTCTATCTATATTTAATGTGATCTGCAGTTAGACGTCAAACTGATTGCCACAAAAATAAATTTTCTCTTTTTTCTAAAATGGATATCATATTTCAAGTCAGGATTCTTTCAGCCGTTCTAGTTACCCTTTGCATTTTGCTTGAAGCAACGGACTAAAAAATTATTCACAAATGTGTCCAGCCAGGAACAGGACATTTAAAAAATAAATGTAAAGGTTTCTAGTTTTTTAAATAACTGGATTTAATTCAGTTGGTTTTCACAAAGTTTTTAAAACCACATATCCTGTAATATTGTTATTTTTTAAATTCATATTAACGTTACACTTGACTTTTATTGGCAAATATGTCAAATTTTTCCTTTTTTACATACTCTTACCATGTAAGTACTTATTGACTCTATACCTTCTCTGCGCAAATTGCATCCTATATTTTCATCTGACACCGTAGTTACTAACTAGCAGCGCCATCCAGAAAACTTATTGTTTGTTTCGTTTGCAAATCAATTTTACCGACCTTGATCATTGCGGAAGTCTTAAAACAGAGATTTTTTTTAATTTATAACCTTAACTTTTGACCTCAAAATCTATAGGGAATTTCCTTGCGGCACAGGGATTTGTTGTATAAAATTTCACTCATGAAAAAAACCCAAAGGCTTCTTGAGGTATCATTATGATAGGATTTTAAAAAATACATATCAATGACTTGTTACGAAAGGCGGTGTGATTTTTTTTCCTGTATATCTTGAGTACACTGTACAGTTACATAACGATTAATGCTGACCTTCCATTAACACTATCACACAGTCTTGAACAACTTTTCAATGACATTCCCTTTCGACTTATAAAATTACCTGAGAGATCCAATTAACTGATAAATAATCTACAGGTGTATTTCATATTAGCGGATATTCAGGTAGCATGAAAGGTGAGACTTGTATAGACCAATTAGTTGAACTTATTGTACTTCAACATAACTGTATCTATATTTAATGTGATCTGCAGTTAGACGTCAAACTGATTGCCACAAAAATAAATTTTCTCTTTTTTCTAAAATGGATATCATATTTCAAGTCAGGATTCTTTCAGCCGTTCTAGTTACCCTTTGCATTTTGCTTGAAGCAACGGACTAAAAAAATTATTCACAAATGTGTCCAGCCAGGAACAGGACATTTGGGAAATATTGATAAATGTAAAGGTTTCTAGTTTTTTAAATAACTGGATTTAATTCAGTTGGTTTTCACGCTTTTAAAACCACATATCCTGTAATATTGTTATTTTTTAAATTCATATTAACGTTACACTTGACTTTTATTGGCAAATATGAATAAGTTTTTCCTTTGTTTACATACTCTTACGATGTAAGTACTTATTGTCTCTATACCTTCTCTGCGCCCATTGCAGTCCTGTATCCCTCATCTGACACCGTAGTTACTAAGTAGCAGAAAAATTAACGTTTGATTCGTTTGCAAATCAATTTTATCGATAAACGGTAGTCTGATCTTCAGGTTCCGAAAATCAGGCATTGTGTAATTGAAAATGTTTAACAAATGAAAATGTGTTTTTACACAAAGCTATTCAACAGACCTCATCTATAAAGTTAATCATATTGCATGATGTAGACATTGGCGTCGGAAGCAAATTGGAAGTGGGGAGGGGAGTTAATTCAAAGAGAAAATTGATTTCAAACCTGATAAAAAATTGATACCAAAAAAGGAAAATGACTATTGTCAAATCCTGAAAATCCTATATCGTGGAGGGGGGATGGGGGTAATTTTTTTTTTATCAGTGTCATCTTTTTTTTTTTAGGTCACCTGAGTCACTTAGGTGACCTATTGCCATCCGTGTTTGTCCGTCGTTCGTCGTGTGTTAACATTTGAACATTTTCAGCTTCTTCTCTGAAACCGCTATAACAAATTCAACCAAATTTTGTATACAGCATCTGTGGGTGAAGGGGAACAAAATTTGTGAATTTCATGGTCCCTGCCCCCCTGGGGCCTGAGGGGTGGGGCCAAAACCACTAAAATTAATGCAATCTTTAAAAATCTTCTTCTTTACTCCTGGACATCAAGCAGTCAAACTGTTTGCATGATTGTAATCAGCAATGAGTCCTCTACCAAAATTGTGAAATTCATGGCCCTGGGGTCAGGGGTTTTAGTGCTAGGGCGGGGCTAAATAAGTAGGTAGTGAAAACGTATTATTTCTTTTAAAATCTTCTTCTCTGCTCCTATGTATTAAATAAACCAACTAAGTACATAGTTATGATGAGCAAGAGTGCCTCTACCAAAATTGTGAATTTTATGGCCCCAGGGTCAGGGGTTCTGGTGTTAGGGCGGGACTCTATTGATTATATAGTGAAAATACATGAATTCTTTGAAAATCTTCTTCTCTGCTCCTGGGTATTAAATAAACTAACTAAGTGAATAGTTATGATGAGCAAGAGTCCTTATACTAAAATTGTGAATTTTATGGCCCCAGGGTCAGGATTTCTGGTGTTAGGGCGGGGTTCTATAGATTATATAGTGAAAATACATGAACTCTTTGAAAATCTTCTTCTCTGCTCCTGGGCATTAAATAAACTAATTAAGTACATAGTTTTGATGAGCAAGAGTGCCTCTACCAAAATTGTGATTTTTATGGCCCCAGGGTCAGGGGTTCTTGTTTTAGGGTGGGGCTCTAGTGATTATATAGTGAAATGCATGAATTCTTTGAACATCTTATCCTTTGCTCCTGGTTAATATACTAATGATCTAATTACATATTTAAGGCCAGGATTTAATTTATTTTCAGTTTTACAAACCCTCCGCTCAAGGTTTTTGATTTTTATGAAAAAAATATTAATAAGAAAATTTTTCTCTCCGATGTCAAATTTGAGTCGGGATCGAGATTTCAAATTTACGAACTCGCACTTCCGGTTTTACGATGAAACGGCGGGTAAATAAAGCTAGATCTGAGAAGATAGCTTGGTTTTGTGTAAAATTCATCGATAAGAGTGCCATTCAAAACGTTTCACCCGTTCAAAGGACAAATAAAATGCTGACGACTTTGTTGCACAATGACATGCTGGTGAGATAATTATGTATTCGTTTCAAAAGTATCTGTCTGTAAATTATTTTCCTCCCCCAGGTTTTAAACTGCCTGTGGTAGCTATTGCATATTGCCAGCGACATTGTTTAGGTCTCTGTCATAGCTTACAGTCTAAACATCATTCTTCAGAAAAGGGTTGCTTATGCATCAGATGTAATGAATAAAACTATGGGAGAAGTTAAGTCCATTTGAGGAAGAAATAAACAATAACCTGAAGAAATATAAAATAATTCAACTATTAAAAGGCAAGAATATACAAATATATACAGGCATGTAGTTTCATTTGTATCAGCCAGAAAAATTATTTTACACTTAATTGAAAAAATATTCACCCTACTCCCCAATACTCTCTGTCTGTTTTATGATAGGAATTATAATTTTAGGCATCAAGTAAATTTTAGAACAATGTCTACACATTCACCTAACACATATTAAAAAAATGAAGATATATTGAAAGACTTTTAAAGAATTGATTATTTGAAATATATTTTGATCAACATCACAAAATTTATATAACTTGCCCAAACTGGATGATGATGAAATAAGCAATTAAATGTTCTACTTTCCTATTTGTAAGCATTATGTGTCCAGTGGTAAGGAGCCTATTAGGATAGCATAAAAAAGAATGTACAAATGTTAATAATTGATTTATCAAATTTTTTTTTTATTTCCTTCTCCTTCGGGACTTTTTTATTCTCATGTTCATAACTAAACCTAAACATAAAAAAATGCTGGCCTTATAATGAAGAAAGGAGCCTCTTTCAAAATAGATAATTTCAGGGCCGCTGGGTCAGGGGTACCAGGGGGTACTTTGACTAAAAATAAATTAATGCTTTGAAATCTGCCCTTTGATAAACAATGGTGCCTCTTTCAAAATTTGTGAATTTCATGGCTTTTGGATTAAAACACGAACCAAATACAATCGCTGGAAAGTTGTTACATGATACTCAGGTGACCTATAAGGCCCGTGGGCCTCTTGTTCCAAAACACTACCACCTTGACTACACTGCAACATGCTTGTTGAAACGGGGGCTAAACCTATGCCCCAATCTTCAATGCCTATTATGTTTATCTTTGGAAAAAAAAATTAAGTTGGGGGGGGGGGGGGGGGGGGGGGGGGCTAAGTCCCGGTTCCGACGCCTATGTTATATATGGACAAACACATGTACATTTTAGAAATAAAAATCATACATATCCAGGCTTTTGAAGAAAACTGTATGGTTTTAATATATATATTATACGTACTTATTTAAAGTTCTTAAAGTTTCTCAAAACGATGATGGATCTGCAATTTAATCCTAGCACCTGAATATATACCTATAGAAGGTCGTATGCTGTAAAAAGGCAATTTTTAGGTTTACTCAATAAGCTTGGTAACATAATGCGTAAATTGAGATGCCACATTCTGTCTGAGCCACTGGATTCTAACCAAGAAAACAACTGTAATGCGTTTATCACCCTTTATTCACCGTATGTTACAACGGGTAACGCGTGGGAGTCGCTAAAAAGTATGGGGGAGGCGTTTTCAGCGTATGGGGGAGTAGATTTTTACCGCTTCAGAGTGGGTGTAGGTCACGTCTATTTCGGTATTTGTAAGATGTATTTACTTAAAACAAATATCTCACGGAAGACAGCAATTGTTAAGCTTAGTACTGTTCATTTTTCCAGCTATCATGTACGTCTGGTATTCTCAAATACTTCGAAACTATTCGACAAAACGTTGATCGAGTGGTCAAAACATGCATCATTTGCACAATATAGACTTGCATAGGGCTTCTGACAGTTAAAACAGCAAAGGCAAATGTTTATCTTTGATATGCAATAATTAAAACTTGACTAGACTTTATAAAAATTAATAGTTAAGACATTTTCTATGCTTCATTGCAATCCAAGATTGTTTATTTCTTGAGTTTCTCGTGAACAAAATTCTCGTTTAACAGTAATAATGCTTGCTTGTTTTTGAACTCTTGTATATTTGATTTATAAATCTTTTCTTAATCGAACACAAAATTCACGGTTTTCTGAAGCAGGATAGGAGAAGACGAGTGGATCGCTTTGCTCGGGACTTTTTCTGGTGATCTTTGCTGTGAAATAGCGGCGCCTTATCCACGGAGTTATCATCTTTGCTTGTAAAGTCATCAAACACTAGTAGCTCTTGAGAGGGGAATGCTTTAACTGTCAGTTCTTTTTCGTTAATACCCCAGCCTGTTTGTGAGTTTTAAAAGTTACAGAATTTTGCAAATGTCCATCAAGATATAGAAATAGATTTTTAAAAAGTTCTTATTAACATTACAATTAAGTTTTAAAAAAAATAAATTTTAATACTGTCGATTTATGCACAATTCTGTGAAATGGATGTGCATTTGGTTTGTTTGTCAAAATAAACTTGCTTACCAAATTTTTTCTCCGTACCCACGCTTTTCTTTAAAAAAGATAAAAATTAAGTAGTGAATTGTCAGAGATTTAAGCCAGATTTTTTGCGATTCGGTAAGCAGGGAGAATTGATTTACCTTTTTTGAAAATACATTCCTCATTAGTCGATTCAGCTTAGTTGTTTTCTTCCGATTGACCATATCTAAAGATGAGAAAAAGCATAAAAACTACAGAAAATGACAATTTAAAAAATATTATCATCCCACTTAAACATAAAAGAACTGTAGAAAATGACATCGTCAGAAAAATATCATCATACCACTGAAACATCAAAGAACTGTAGAAAATGACATCGTCAGAAAAATGTCATCATATCATTGAAACATCAAAGAACTGTTAACAATGACATCGTCAGAAAAATGTCATCATACCATTGAAACATCAAAGAATTGTAGAAAATGACATCGTCAGAAATATATCATCATACTATACTGAAACCTTTGATGGATAAAAAAAACTTTATAAATCATGACATCATCAGAAAAAGTCACCAATATGCCACTGAAACATTAGAACCTATCAAACCAAAAAGCGCAAAACTTGCGAGATTTCACCGCGCGGCCCGCGGATGTTCAAGTTGTTAAACCCTGCACACATCAGTTAATGAGCGGGCTAACAATACTGATGAATTGGTTTTGCAATTGCTTTCTAACATTTCTACTCTGAATTTTTCTGGATTATAATTTTTTTTTGTTATACCTTTAAAAATGTGTTCCTATACAATTCTATACGAAAAAAGTCTAACATTTTGAATGTTTTGCTGAGCGGGCTTAAAAAAATCAATGTTGGACCGCTGAGTGAGATGTTGGACCGCTTACGTCATAGAATGGGCGGAGCTTAATCTCATTTTCATTCGTTGGTGTTAAACAGTGACAGATCTGATGTTACATCACGGAATACCGTATAAATGCATGCATGCATGTAAAAAAAAAAATAAAATAAATTAAAATTAAATGGTAAACATCAAAACATTTAGAAAGTGACATGCGTTTTGTCAGAGAATTGCCTTCGGTCTAACGGCCTCAGGCAGACAGTTTGGTTCTTGGGTCCGACAAATATCATCATACCATTGAAACAGTCAATAAATGTATGATACTTTTTCATAGATATACAACAAAATTTCTACTTTTCTTGAGTTTTAAGGATAAAGTATATGTTGTGAAAGTGCAAGCCAAAGGGTGTGTCAATCATGCAAACACGACCTGAAATTCGTAGTTTCAATAATTTCCAAATAAAACAACCCTTTTTATAATTCAATTTCCATGTGAAATAGAATTGCTAATGCAACACATAAGTCATAATATTATACAGACAATTTGAGAAAATATTAGCTTCACATCTGTGTTTAATTAAGCCCTTAAAACATACACGGAAAAGTATGTATAATATTTTTGCGTCCGATTTGATGCTTTGCATCAATTTAACTTGTAATTTCTTCGTTTTGTTTTTTAAATTAAATGTTCAATATGAAATTAGTTGTACCTTTTGGGTCTGACAACAAACTACATGTATCTTTCTCTCCTGGTGAAACTGGAAAAGATCTGACAACCTGGTCATTCAAAGACGAGGAATCTTCATCTTCACTATCCAAATGTACTGGAACTAGTGCACTGAAAACATAAATTTGTCACGTTGACCAGATTTGAAGTCATTTTCTTCCATTCAGTTAGTCAATACATAATTTGACTATCTGTTTCCTCAACATTACCAGAACTTTGACTTGTGACTGGTCATTTTGTTTATATTTATTGGCGGGAAGAAAAATATCATCATACCATTTTCCTCCCAGGAAAACACGAAGTGATGGTAAAAATTGTTGTTTTCTTGTTTTAGACAAATAATTCTATAAAAAACTTATTCAAAAAATGTTCTACAGAGAAATAATGTTGAAATAAACAAAGTATCATATTTTTCCTCAATAATTGTTGTATTTTACATTATTATGATACATGTAGGTTAGGATGTGGGTTGATTGTGTTCAAGAAAAATTTCATATTCAATTAATGCAAAAAGCTCAAAATGAACTTGGTCTAAAATTCAACGATTATTACATAGGTATTATTCTTTTACAACTCACAGTATGGCATGGACTCTCAACTACCACTGAATGGACAAACAAATCAAAATACAATGCATTGTTACCGTATAAAATGAAAACCACATTATACACAGAAAAATATCATCATCCAAATGAATTACGTACAACTTATATTTTCAGTATAATGGTGATTTATGAACTTGTTATTTTTTAACATTTTATTTTATAAAAGAAAATACAATGTGCCCTTATGTAACATGTACTAGACTCTCCATCAACTGGCCTGCTTTACCAAATATTAGCGTATTATTCAATAATACATGTATATGTTAAAGGCATTTAAAATAAAATCACAATGGTTTGTGTTAACCCATTTCTGCACACATCAGATGAATGATTTCATTCACTTGTGCCATGTTTGCTAAGGTAAACGTAATTTTTTAGTCATTTTAATTGTTTAAACAATTGCTTTTTTCTTATTAATACTGCATAAATAGCTACTCTAAATTTATATCTTGATTTCCTTTCATATATTTTTTTCATTACTTTACTTTTGCCATCAAGCAACTTAAATACAGCAAAATTATAAAGACTATTCTTCATTGCAGTTTGTAATGATAAAGTATAAATATATTCCTTGAGGTTGGAAAACAAAGCAACAACTGAAAGGGTGTGTCAATCATGAGAGACACGTTTCCTGAAGTTATTTCTTTGTAGTTTCAATCATTTACAAACAGTAAAACTAATTTGCTTGAAAATATATAAATATCTATGTATGCTGTATATGTAGGTGTCTGTCTGTTTTAAATTTTTACAATGTCTTTATCCAAATCTTATGAAAATGATCAGTTTATTATTTGTGTTTATTTGGTGCCCATATTTATGAAATTTTATAATAAATAGTTCAAATTTTAGTTGTATAATTGTATATTTTGTATCTGAAGGGCATTGATGCGTGATAATCAAAATGATTTGACGCGCATGTCATCAATTTAATATCTTGCCTAGAAATATAACTAATTGACAGTCATTTTGATTTGAAATGATAATCATTAAATGTTCAATTATGAAATTACAGTTGTAAAATCGTTATAGTGTACTCATGGTGACTTTCAACAAACTATCAGTTAGTATCTTTCTCTCCTGGTGAAACTGAGCTCAACACATCGTCCAATTGACTAACTGCACCCTCATCTGGAGGACAATCAATCTGATTATTTTTTTAGGTCATGGTGACTAACTTAAATTTTCAGTGTGACGTCAGCTCACGAAAGAGGTGTTCCGAGGGAATGCTAACGTTAACATTCTTCTTTGTACGATGGAGTGGTATTTCATCTTCATGTGTCTACAATGCACATATAAAATGTTTTGACCAAGCTATTGTTTTACAGTAAATATGTATATCTTGGAAGAGAGTGATTGATTGATATTGTTATTTAACGCTCCTAGTAAGATGAGAGGTCAAGATCTAATAAATAAAAGGTACCTACAAATTTGAGAAACGACTTTTTGAAAATTTGAAAAAAGAATAGATTTTTTACAGATAAAGCTTGAAAAAATAATATGTATCGAAGCATAACAAAAAGACCCCAAAACATTTTGAATTGAAAAATGGAAAATTTAGGAAGTCGGAATAATTTTTTTCTTTATCTCAGAAAAGGGAATTGTATCATTATTGCCTGCAGTCTCTCTAAAAATATTCTTGGTCTCTCTCTCTCATTTTTAAAGCGATATTAACTTGATTTAAAGTATTGGAGTTTCTTTTGACATTTTTTTTTCAAATTTTAAAAACAAGAATACTTCAATTATGACGTCATAATGCATCTTCACAAAGTATCAAAGTTTTCACTGTAAACCTGGGGGAGGTTATTATATGTACTTAAAATTTTATGAAGGTTATAGCACCAAAATGACAATCTTAGCTCATTTACTAGATCTTGACCCTAAGGGCCACTTTTAAGCGTGCGAATGCATGTTTCTGTTATAATAATCCGACTCAAAATAAAATTTTCTGATTCTGATTCTGACCTAAGGTTCTTGGCAAAAATATACTTCTAAGTATTTAAAAAAGAATGAAAATCAAATGTTGATGCAAATGTTTTTTTTCGTTTCACCCCAAGGACTCAGATACACATCTAATTTACTTTGCTCTTTTACTTTGTTTCATATGGAATACAATGTCTATGAATGTTAACTATACCGTTTGAACTGAAGTTTTCAAGACACCATCCACCAAGGATTCTACGGCAGCTTCCGTAATTGCATTGCTGTTTCTGGTTTTCTCTGCCATTTCTTACTCTGTTTTGTCTTTGAGCTTGACAACAAATATTTCTCTATGACGTCACAATGTAGATGACGTCACAATGTGAAAAAACATCGTGACCAAAAAAGAAAAGAGAGAAATTCATTCATGATGTGTCTTTATTCAAAATATAATATAAATTCATGAACATAAGTGTACATTGCATGGTCCATTTTTGTCCATTTCTGTGCTACAACAGTATGCGCAGTTTAAGAGATCTCGTTTACCTAAGACTGCGCCCAGGTGGTGTGATCTTCCAGTTCTTAGAGAACCGAGTGATGCCATAATGTTACAAATCTGAAAAGTAGGGAAAATATACATATTAATCATTGTTAATAACGCCAGTATACATGTATCATTATTTTGATCAATCTATTGTATTTGTATTTCGTTTTAGGGGAAAATATTTGTCAATTATTAAAACTTGTATCATATATCATTTGATAATGATAACTATTTGATTACCGCTTTTTTCCGACAACCAGCGGAGTAAGACAGAGATAAATGTGAAGTAGTTCTTTTCTCCAAGTAACATTCCTGTAAATAGAAACAACGAGATACAATCCATTAAAGCATATACTTAAAGGAACAAACACCAGAACGCAAGATTAGATTTCTGCTCTTTAACTTTTTCTTTTCTTGAATGAATAATGAAAAAATAAGACCATACTATAATTTTACATTTCAGATATAATGTTGTATTTTTCCTTTTGATATAAACAAAAATATTTTAATATAGAAAAAAGATATTGCGAATTAATCCATGGTGAGACTGTTTGGACTGAAAGGTGTTATATTTGTCACAGGAAAATGAAGGTGGTTTTGGAAGCGAAGAAAAAAAAGTTTAAAAATGATGTCTATGAGTTCTTAAAAAAATTGTCAAATTTTAGCAAATTACCTTCAAATATTTTGATCACACAAATTTTAATTGTCGGCAATAAAATACCTGTTGGTTTTACCTCATCATCACCACATTTGATCGTGGTCTGTTGACAGTCCCGCACTGAAGCCGAGTTTGTACAACTCATACACTCCAATCCCGCTTTAGCGGTCTGGATTTCTGAAGAAAAGATAAAACACATAAAATAAAATAACATAAAAAATAATACAGTCTTTCTTTAAATTTAAAATAATGATCCAATCCATCTAATGGGAACATCTTTTTTTGAATATGTTATTGTAATAAATTATGTAAGATAATAGTAAATAACTAGAGGTACTGTGGGTTATGACCTCACTAAATGACAACCCCCCACCTCCCATATGGTTATAATGGCAAATCCATGTTTTGCTCTGGGAAGCCGAAATAAGTTCAGATCAAAGAGAAAAATAGGAATGTGCAATAGCATTATGTAATAAAAAAAACTGAAAGTATCATTAAATTTTATTCCGCGGTATAGGAGGAGTTGCGGATATGAGATGGGTACCCTTCAATACTATAGAAAGAATGGCAGTGTCCATGTTTTGCTCTGGGAACCCCAAAATATGTGTTGGATCAAAAAGTAAAAGAGTGGGTGCACAATGACATTATGTTACAAAGATTCTGTGAAAATGTCATTAAATTTCATTCAGTGGTGAAAGAGAAGTTATAGATAAATGATGGGTACCCAAATGCGTAACAGACCGACGGATATCCCGATCATTATACTAGTATACCCTCCCAATTTTCAAGCGGGGGTATATTAAAAACATTTTTTAAATACCTGAAATCACTATCAACGTCACAAGCATAAAGTCTGAAAGGAAAACAAAAACATTTTAAGAAACTTTAAAAACATCTAACTCAGGATACCTCCAAAAACTTTAATTTCTTTTATGTACATTACCTGTGACCATTCCTTGCAATGCCAGGGACAACGTGTTGACTCAGGACATCTAGCATTGCGAGAATGGAAGAGACAAGGCTTTGAAATTTTTCTTTTTTCCAATCCTGCATACCTTTTGGAATTTCTTTTGATATTTGACCTCATGACCTTGATCTTGAAGACTGATGAAGTTTTAATCTTTGTCATAACTTTTGTATGGTGGACAGACAAGACATGACACACAAACGACTTTACAAAAATATGCCCTAAGAAATTGCATTTCAAACCTTTAAGATACCGGAAATGGGGGAGCATAACTCTTTGAATTTGCTTTGTTGCTGACAGTATCGCAGAGACCAATAACATACTATATTTGTTTTTACGTAATAACTAATTAAATATACAAAAATTTCTTTTTGTGTATATAGTGGTTACGTAAAATCAAATACACTGTATAGATCTAAGTGTGCTACAGACCCCGTGGACAATATTTCAAATTGTAGCATAGTTTTTGAATAGGACTACTTTTTTTCTTTTAAAAATGGAGTTATGATACAGAAATACAGGTTTATTTTAATGGATATAATAATACAGGAATGTGTACTTACGCCGAGGCCATTGTGCCATCTCTGTTTCTTATCAGGACCAAGGTCCCATGCCAAGAATCGGTGCTTTTAATAAACATGAATATGCACTGAGATACACCTGTAAGTGACCTTAAGAGCCTGTAAGCTCTTCTTAACCAAATATACAGCCAAATCACAAGTACTTTTTCTTTATTCAAGTCCATTCCAGTAAACAAAAATCTATTAAAAGAGACCCATCCCTTCCAGGAATCATTTATCATCTTCAAGAAAAAATTTCCAGTATACACATGTACCTGATATTTTTTTTACTATGGGTACTTTATAAATTATAATAATATTTTGACCCATTTAATACCTGAATTTTATTTAACATTAACCATATGTCAGGGGGAGACCGGTGTTTCAAGGTCAATGCACACTAGTGTGTTTCGTAAAGCGTTGGTCGTGATTAGTAAACTTTCAGTGAGTTGTGGAGCGGGGGTCGTATAGATACTTAGATACCTAGTGAAAGTTACTCATCAATTCTAAATTTACTAATCTTATCTAGTAAATATACCAATATCTGGTAAAACTACTATTAAAGTAGTGATTGTATGGACAGTGAATCTACTAGTTTTCTTCGTGACATTAACTAGTTATTTTTTTACAGTGTGTGCAACAGATTTTTTTCACCTTCTTTATAAGAGATCTTCCTTTTATAATTTGGAACTTAAAATCTGCAAGAAGGATATGTAACAGAAGCTTAAGTCTTCATAAATCTGCTACCGTGTTAGTCCGAAATATCTGACGTTTTCCTGGTATTTTCACGATTTTGAAATTTTACGTGCCCTGAAAAGTTTGGGAAAGTGAAAAAGCTTGGGAAACGTCGGATATTTCGGACTCCTACAGTGTAGGGGTAGCATTTGAAAAATCTTCAATTTCAATTTTTTGGTTACCATTTGGCAACATTACTTGTCAAAATGGAAAACGGTACACAGAACAATGCATCTTATTGTACTTTATAAAACAGATGTTACAAATCCATACCTAAAGTGTAAAAGGCATTGGCATTTTAGTTGAAACAGAAATACGCATGAACAATAAACACCTTTCTAATTTATAATACACAAGCTCTGGGACCCGTTTTACATAAGAACTTACGACTAAGACCCAAACCTTGAGTGGATTGAAAAATTTTGTTAAATTAATGATTTTCTTTGAATTTATGGGAATAAATATATCTTACAAAATTTTTTTCAGAAGATAAAAACTATTTCCAAATCTATGTAAAATAGAAAGCTATGAGCGAAATTAAATTTTGGTCTTAGTCTTAAGTTCTTTTGTAAAACGGGCCCCTGGTCTTTGATCACTTGAGCTAAAAATGAGGAGTGTAAAGAGTTTCAGAATCTAGGAACAAGGTCTTACTTGTGAAACTTTACCACATTTCTTCCATTATCTCCTTCCAGTTTCAGAAATAATTTTAAAATACATCAATACAACACATCAGAAATAGTATTGAAGTTCAACAAAAAAAATACCGATTATTAATTTCATGGTCCTAAGTCAAGTTTATGATTTAAGATTTAGTTCTTGGTGGTGTTTCTTCACAGGATAAAGAACCAGTCACTCCATTATCATACTTTACATTACAAACATAAAGGGTAAATGGTAAATTGTTTTAAAAGAATTTCATACCAGGGTCAATTTATTTTTTTTTTAAATGACATGAGTCAAAAGAATAGAAATCACCTTTTATGTATCTTAAGGTATCGATCCATATTAGCCCCAGACTCAATGGAACTGAATGCATAATAGATATGTATGGGCTGATTAATCAGTGCAGTTAGAACTATTTTTCATCTTTTAGTATCAGAATGTAAGAGTGGGACATGTCCTAATTTATGACCTTTTCCTGCCCTTGACGAGTTATTCCCCTTTAATTTTATTCAATAAAATTAATTTTTAAAAAAATTTCTTTCTAATTGTTTTTCTGTTCCCAATGATCAAACACATCTTTCCACCACAACATTTTTTTGATATTTGAAGTATTTATTTTTTATCATAAAAAACTTACTTCCTTCCATAGACTTCAATGCAATCTTCAATAATTAATTTCGGCTTAGGCAATAAAATTTTTGAAAATTTCTCTTGGTAAATCCCTTTCTACTCTAAAATGCTTTTAAATAATATTAGGATATTTTACAAACAATTGATATTTAAGGTTAGAAACTTTGGTCCTAATATGGGTCGTATACCTTAAATCCTTAATAAACTACATGAATTTGGAGAAAATGAATCAATTTTTGCATGTAATTTTCAAATTAAATTCTTGATATTTCAATCTGACAGTTTTATATGATCAAATATAGAAGCTAACATGAAAGCATATGTAAGATTTGTATCATTGTTCCGGTGTTGTCTGATATCTGAAGACACACTCATTACAAGGTACTCTGTATATTACATACTCAGTGTCACAACTGAAAATTTATCATCTACAACAAATATTGAGAGAAAATTGCATAAAATTTTAATGTTTGGCAATTACCGGTAATATAATTGATTACAAAATTCAATAACTTGTAGCTTTTAAATGTAAAAGCATGTGATGAACAAATTCAATAAATTAAAAAAAGATATATGATGAACAAATTCAATAAAATAAAAAAAGTAATCAAACAAAATAGACCTATTTATTTGTATAAAAAATCATACTCCGAAGTCAATGTAAAATCAATAAGGATAAGAGAAACTATGTTCACTGGTATATAAATAACAGTTCATATAAACAATGTGATATTGTCTGAACAAGATAGTCAACAATAAGTCTTAATGGAAGATTTCTTAAAATCCCTATGCATATTAAATAAAGTGCATTTACAATGCTAAAAACCAAGAAAAATTGGGGATGCACAAATCTAAATGGTTCATAAAAAAGATTTGAAGATATATTTTATTGTAATTAAGCATCATTTGATTGTATATGATTGTACATGTAATCAAATTCCAAAAAATAAGTACATAAATATACACAGAATAAAAAAAAAACTTTCTCTTTTGTTCAAATAGACTGACATTAGGCAAAGCATTATAAGGATATTTGTACTTTTATCACTTAAAAATTTTTTTTTATACATGTAATACAATTTTACATATGAGCAACAGAAATACGCAAGTGAGTTAAGGCTAATATGGTTTTTATTATGTAAATGAGCTAATAAAAATGCATAAATTGTATATTTTATATACAGAGAAAGTTCAAATTGATTTTCTTATACATTCTTAGTACCTTCCGTATATTATTGCAAGTGCACATTATGACGTCATATTATGACGTCATAGTTCTCTCCCATTCAAGGATATAAAACACATTAACAAAACAACGTCGGCGCAAGGGCATATCATATTTAATTTAAAATAAATAAAGTAAAATATTGAAGAGAATATTCTTAAAATTAATAAAATTGCTGCACAAATCCTATCTTCTTCTTCAATCGATAAAAATTTTACTAAACTTACATTGGACTGTACATTTTTACCCTGTTTCAACTTAAAACTGTACGAATAGTAACTAAACAATTGCAGTGTCGACATTTGTGCAGCAATATCTTAAATCTTTGGAATATTCTGCTTTTCTTTATACCTTGCTTCTGTAAAATAAAGTAAGGTATGCCCTTGCGCCAAGGCGATTTTGTTGATTTTCTTATAAACTTGTGTAATTTAGCTATATTATGCACGTCATAATGTGTACTGGTAATCGCTTATTGTGGGTACCAAGAATGTATTAGAAAACAAGACTTAACATTTTCTTTGCGGTATGTAGAGCAATTATAGGTCTTAATTAATAATTTTGCATAAAAAACTCCATACGTAGCCTTAACTTACTTGCGTATGAGCTGTATAGATATATCTGAATATTGAAGTACATGTACTGTTAGGGTTATATCAAGGCACAAGTTTCAGGTTAGGGTTCCAGACTGTAGCAACACCAATGGCTGAAGAAATAATTCCTAGAAAGCCTTGAACACCAGCACTGGCATCAACTTTTCCCAGTGTATTTAATGGCAGTATAAGGTCTGAGGCATTCTTCACCAGGTCCAAAAATACAGGTTTATTGTCACAAACACATCTCTGGACGACGGACAAAGCACCGGGACTTTGGCTTTTTCTGCTGGACATATCTCCATTGCTATACTGAATTTCATTTTCCTTTTTCTCTTTCTTGCTCATTTCTAATTTAGCTATATTTGCAATGTCATAAAAATTACGAGTTAGATTCAAAACAAGACTAAAGAACCAAAACTCAGCAGAAACTTTGGACCATTTGGCCTTGTCTGTTTTGATCACACCAAGGTTATGGAAATATATGATATGATCAAAGAACAGGAAAATGGACTGACTAATTTTAGACAGGGTCACTGTCCATCGAATGACATCATCACTGATGTGAAGGGATTTCAGTGCCGCCTGAATGAAATCCAGACTCTTTCCCAATCGCAGCACTGAAAAAAATTAAAAATAAGTTTACATCAGTTTAATACAATGAAGTTACCATTTTCCAGATTTTTTCTTTTTTAATACAAAAGAATACTGTAAGTATATTACTGTATCACACAGACATTCAAGACATATCTTTTTTTCATAAGAAAGATAAGAAAGACAAACTTTGGAAATAATAAATAAGTTTAACTTGCTAAACATGCTTAGTACTTTTATGAGCCATGCTCATTGATGATTCAATGCTTACTACTGTTTGTTATCTCCATATACATGTATTTCATTTACAAGTTATGCTTGTTGATGATTCAATGTAAGGTGGATGATTCAATGCTTATATTTTCAAGTCATATTCATTGATTATTCAATGCTTGCATTTACTAGTCTAGCTCATTTATTATTCAATGCTTACATTTACGAGACATGCTCAATGCCATTTCAATTCAATGCTTACATTTACGAGTCATGCTCATCGATGACTCAATCTTCTTAAGTCTTTCCACCACATCTTCTTTGTTTTTTAGATTCCACCAAATCAGCTTAACAGAGTACTGAACCAATCTATTAAAATTCGAATAAAAACAATAATGTAGTGAATAAAAATTTAATTGTAGGTCAGTACAGAAGTATATAGTATTGTACATGTTTCTTCTTTGGTAATGTCATATAATTCTGTAACAGGAAGGAAGAACATGTCACAAGCCAGACCAGGTTTTCAACCTGGCCCTCCTGACCTCGAAAGAGATCTTCTAGGTTTTCACCCACCCTCCCACCTTTATCGATACCTTTAAGAGATCCACTAGGTTTTCAACCTGCCCACTCCCCATCCCTCTAGACCTCTCCCCACCCAACCTCTAAGGAGACCCTCTAGGTTTTCACACCCCCCCCCCTTCAACCTCTTAAGAGATCTAGGTCCCCCCTCCCTAAGAGAACCTCAACCAACTGAATTTTCTGGCCACCTACGTCCAACAAAAAAGCCTTTAGCATTTCTCATTTCAAGTTATTCATTGACATTGTTTAATGAATGTTTTTTTTTTTTTTTAATTTTTTTTTTTTTTATAAAAAACATTTTTTCACACTTGCAAATTCTAGAATGTTAAAGTTTATGATCACATTTTTCTTCTGATTATCTGATTATTTTGTTTCAGAAGTTAATTATGTGCCAGATTTTGATAGAACCAAGGATTATATACAAGAGTAAATAAAGTTTGCATGCAAAGTATTTCATGTCAGAATGTCTTAAATTTATTATTTCCCAATCTAATTGCTAGGTATATAAATATTTATGTAAACTTAACGATACTCAGAACACTTGTACACTTTGTGTCACTATCTAGAATATTCTGTGACAGAGGTCACTAACTAGAGATATACATAAAATTACGGGACACTGAGGTCGTCCTTTCACCTGGTGATAAGAGAATTTTAAAGGAAAATCGTGTTTCATTACCTGTAAAAGATTTCAAATCGCACTGTACTTACATCTGACTAAATGTAAACTAATTAGATGCACAATAAATAATGTTCTTTTAATTAGATTAATAAGCTTTCTTTTTAAAATCTTATCCCTCTCAATTAATTTAAATTCTGTTCATATGCACCAGACAGACAATTATATTAAAAAGAATTTATGTATACCAGAGCATAGAAAGCTACCCAGAGGAAGCTGTTGTATATCATCAGAGCAAAATTTTGGGATAAAAATGTATAGTTCTATTTTTATATAATATCTTGGGCAGAGATTCTGATTAACTAAAAATCTGTTTCTAAAATTACATCAGAAAATTTTTTAAACCAACTCATTTTTTTGGGGTTTTCTGCCTCTAGATTATCACATACCATTTCAAAGAGTGAATCGACTTTCCACCCGGCGAGAAGAATTTTGAAACTTTTTATGGAAATAAAAGTAAATATCACAAAGGGAGAGGAGAAAAATGCAGCGGACAAGACAGGGATTCAAACCCGGGCCCCTTAAATCTCCAGTCAGATGCTCTACTAACTGAGCTCTCTGGCCACTAACGATCAAACTTGGCTGACCTCCACATTCCTACGTTTCCTCTGAAAGTGTAAATGAGTGTGATTCTGGGTAGGGGGTACTCCATGTAATTCAGAGTTTAATAGAGACCTTGTGTTATTTAAAGAATGAATTTAATAGCTACCCATTTTATACGGTATAAACTGGGTTGGGGCAGTTCACGCTTTACAAATCGCGAAGCGGTTTATAAAAAAGCGAAAACCGTTTCAACCAAGTTTATACCGTATAAAATGGGTTGCTATTAAATTCATTTCTTATAATTCAATTTTCATTCATTTGATGTAAGAAATAAAGATGACTGTTCTAAGAAAATGACTTCAATTTGTACAAAATTTGAATGTAATGTCAGGCGAATTGATACGTTTTTGACGCAAGTCATTGTGACGTAGGCAACCCATTTTATATGATATAAAATAATTTTTTATCCAATCAAATACATCGTTACAACCAGAATTAAATTACTTATTTATGATATGGAATAATGGGTTCAAAATTTATTACTGAAACAGGTGACTGTGGTTTTAAATGAGAGGGCAATTATTGTCTAATACAGTTTAATTAATAATTATCAAGGTTATTCGACTGAAAATATGGCTTTTCTTGGTCTTCTGTATTGAAATAGTTAATTTATTCAGAATAACTTGGATCTCTACGTATGATAAAATAATTAAACAATCACATATATTTGAATAGGAAGTTTAAGATATAGAGAAAATTCGGATTAGTCATGTAACGTAGTTTTTATGCTTATTACCTGAAAAATTTGTCTCTGCCATTTGTCAAGCCTCCAAATTTAATTATTCCTGTTACAATATCACTACTCATGCTTCTATGTATGCACTATCATCTAAAACTACCCAAACAAACGTCAAATCATTATTTGGACTGAGATCAAAGTTCAGAATCTGTGTCGTGTTTCATTTATAACAATCCCGATAAGATTTCTCACAAATACAAGGTTTTTTTTTCTTTTAAATAAATTATCATTACTGGAATGGAGTTAATATATAATTTAAATCAATAAATAGAAATGTAACTTTGAAAAAAATATGAGATATAAATCTTATCACTAAAAAGTAAAAATGTTTTTGAAAATTATCTTCGTGTTCGTAGTGCCATTTATTTTAAAACTTTGTTTTCGTTTCCGGTAGATTGTTGTGGCTTAGAAACGAGTGAAATTTGACTGCATGCTGCAATGAACTGAATAAGCGAACCAAAAGCGTGATTAAACAAGATATTTTGCACATCATCACATTTTAGAGATGCCTGTTTACATTAGAAAGAACGTTAATTTTACCCCACCATCAATCGACAAGTTCCCTTTGGAGGATGACGAGGACTATATCACAGACCCCGATCAGTTGGTTGATAGACTTCCACAACCGTATCGTATGATAGACAAGGTTCTTTCGCAGTGGTATGATGAAGTATGGGAAATCATAGAGAAACGTGAAAATGAGCGCTTGGAGGAGAGCCGTAGGATCCGCGCACCACAGTATCAGTGTTCAAATCAAATGAAGGTGCCTAAATGTTATCCAATACAGCTACTTGGTTGATTTGACGGTTTTTGAATTAAAAATGTAGTGAATTTAATGTAAAACAAAATAAATTTAAGAAATGTAATAATAAATATCTGTGCATTAATTTATCAGTACTTAAAAAAAAGTCTTCATGTATTAATAGCGAGCGCAGCGAGCGTCGCGAAGCGACGCTCGTCACTGCGAGCTCTTAAAGCAACGCCTGTGCGAAGAGAAAATTCGGACTACTGCACATTCATTCAGTAGAATTTTTTGATGCAGTAATTTGGACCCACAATGCATCACTTGTTTTAGCTACGTTCTCGCGAGAATAACGGCGAAATTTCAACAAAAAGTTTACTCGCCTTGATTTAATGGACACATATTGAAGATAAATTATAAAAGAAACGTTTTTCATTAACTTTCAGCACTGTTTAGGTTTTTTCTTGGTATTGCAACTTACATACGACGTCATGTGACGTTCGCACCATTAACATATTATTTTTTTGTATCGAAATTGGTTGTAGGAATGGTTCAGCAATAGTGTACATGTACATGTATATAAACTGTTAAACAGAAATGAATGTTTGATTGCAGAAAAATCTTAAAAACGGTTAATCAGTTGCTTTTATACCTTCATAGAGTCATGGAAGGGCCTGCTGTATATGTGACAGTGTAGATGGACGATACATTTTTATTGGACTTCCCAGAGGATTGGCAGCTGTGGATTCATTGACCCAAGAAAGAGTGGCCACTTGGGAGGAAGAAAGTGTTGATATACACTATGTGAAGGCTTATTTGATTGGAGTTCAGGTGTATCTAGTGACCACCATTGATGATATGGGTATTTATGATGTATACAAGTCATTAATGCTGAACCCCAGTGTATTGATTTTAGGTCAATAACTGTGTCATTTTCAATACATATCTTATGAATAAATCATAAATCACCACATTTATTACAAGCAGTTAAAACTAAGATATTGAAATACATAAATTAAAAAAAAATTATTGGATTCACCTCAATATTCATATTGATGCCACATTTGAATTTATAGCCATGAACATTGATTTCATGAACAGATTAAGTATTAACAATATTTGTGAAAAAGTACATGCTGAGGCATTTTATTTTGATTTCAGGTTTTGCACGATTGTTCATATTTGGGGGTGACAAGTTTTATTTTGTGAAGATTTTGAATGAGTTTCAGGTAAAAAAAAATTTCATTTAAATTTTGAGGTAGAATGAGGAGTGTATGACATTTATCAATCGTTTAATATTACAGCCGTATCTCATATTTAAAGTGCATCATTATTATACAAAACTTGTTTCTTTGTAAATGAAGTCCTTGAATGCAAAGATATAATTGTTATTTAACTTAATATACATGTATGTTTATATATTTTTTCATTCTTTGATTTGAGAGAGAGAGAGAGAGAGAGAGAGAGAGAGAGAGAGAGAGAGAGAGAGAGAGAGAGAGAGATGCTTGTATCTGTACAAATGTTTACAATTTCTACCCACTCTTATAGTCAGATGATTTTGGAGGTGAATTACAGGTATCCAGCAATGTCTGTGACTCAAAACTTGCTAATCAACAATGAAGATAAAACGATTTGCTTAACAAAAGAGCTGAAAGGAGGAAATTAGGCTTGAATAAAAATATTATGACTAATTTAAGATATGGCAGAAAGCAACTTAGTTTTCATATCAGTTTTAGCTTTTAACATGACATGATGTAAAATGTGCAGTGAATAACTGTGTTAAGTTGCAGTGTTTTAAAAAGGTTATATTATAAACAGAATTATTTTAATATCATAATTCTTTTGATAGAACACTAGAAAACTACAATGTTTTATCGTGGGAAATTTCATGCTGTAAAAGTTAAAAAATGTAACTGATTTACTTAAGATTATAAGAAACACCCAATAAGAGTTATTGTACCTATGACGTACAATGCAGTTGACAATGGAAAAAAATGCATGTGAAGAACATGTTTTACTATGATCTTTGGTTACATGTATACTGTGTAATTAAGTGCATGTGTAGTACATATATTGCTCTGATCTGGGGGCTTTGTGTGTAGTGCATGTTTTAGTTTACTGTAGATTTAGATAGAGGTTAATGATTGCACTCATAGTAGTGAACTGACTGTATAGAGCAACAAGCTCAGCTGACCTTTAAGCACTAACTCTAACATTTTGGCATTCATTGATTGATATTGACAGAGAGGTAGAGGCGGGGCACATAGGCCTATTTTCTCTAACCCTGCTCATGCAGTGAGTACTGTGTGTATAACGAGGAAGCTAGATAGATCTGCAAGTTTGATGTGAAGAAATTATTTACTAGTATATAATCTTACAAACATATTTCCAACAATTAAAAAAAATTAAATTTAATGTATATTTAGTAAATATTTTAATTTGGTATTGAAGGAAATTCTTCTGAAGTTTAAATTTTTTCATATTGTAATAATATATAATCAAAAGTCTGTATTAAACATTTTTTTCCAGAAATATATGTTTATATAAATAATTACAAACTGTAAACACACTTTTTACCAACATGACCATAATTATGCAGAATAACAATTTTGGTTAAATTCATGAATCAAAAAAAGCGAATATTTCAACAAATGCTAAAATGATATAATATTTTCTCAAGGTTTAAGTATGACAAATTTCCCTTTAAAAGTTGTGACTGCTTGCTTTGTGTAAAATTAATACCTAACAGATCGAGACAAGAAAATCTATAGTATATATGCATGAAGCCTTCCAAGGTTATATCTAAAAAAAATATCACAATGAGGAGAATCTATATACATAATGCTTAAATAAAAAAAGCCATGAAGGATTCTTGTCCTTTTTATAGTTATGTTGCAATAAACATTTTTGTTGTACTCAGAAAAAGAAAAAAACATTTGTTTTGGTGTTCGAAACCTTGTGCTAGAAAGAACTTCTGCTTATTCCTTTTATTTGCAATAGCATTTTTCTGCTTTTTGCAATTGTAGACAGGCTTTGATAAATCCAGAAGCTTAAATTCAGACAGTCATGGATTTTTTTCTTCAATTTTATATTATTTACACCTTTCTTATTTCACTTTTTAAAAAATGTTTATATGCACATTATTTCTGTTTTTAATACAAAATGACATAACATCTAAAATAAGAAAAGCAGAGTGATCGATATACATATATGCATAATGTATTTTTTATTATCGTACATTTTTTTGTAACAGGAGGGTGGAACAAAGCTGATAATTACAAAATGTGAGGCTTCAAGGAATGGTGACTATCTCGGTGCTGTGTTTGAAAGTAAGTGTCCGCATGGTAAATTGACAATTATAAAATTGATAATTTTGGAATGTAAGGCCTTAAAATTGACAGGTAGAAATTGTTTAATGGAATAATGAACAGAAATATGATTCTACTGCAATGAAAGAAATTTGTACCAATATAAAACTCATCTAAGTAAATGTAGATACAGTGTACCGGTATTATTATCTCCATTTAATCAATCATCTCTATCCTCAGACCCAGAGACAGCTGAAGTTTGGCTGGAGGTATATAAACTTCCCAGGGATGCCTGGCTTAGTGAGTTAGAGTCAGTTCTAGCTCAGGCAAAGAAGGAAGAAAAAGTGGTCAGTTATCAAGATAATGAAATAAAAGTGTGCTATTGAATTAACATACCGGTACTGTAAAAGCAGAAACATTGGGGGATTAAATTCCGTTTATTTCGTTGTCAACAATTTTCAACGAAATTAAATCCCACACGAAATTTTTATATGACTATGTAATGAATAGGGTTACGTTCAAAACAACGAAATTAGATGCCCACGAAACTATTTTTAAAGACAAATCAACGAAATTTTGTGCCCACGAAAATTTGTGATTCTACAGTATACGTGATACATATGATAGATAATATTTGATTGGCAAATAAACATTTGTGGACGTTAATTAATTAGCATTATGGTATGAGATTAATATAGATCCATGTTTGTAAAAATTTTTCTAATTAAACATGCATAAGGTGATTAAAATAAAATTTTTAATTTATGTGATTGTGAAATACATACATGTGATCAGAATGTATGATGTACATACACTGTAGGAGGATCAAGATCAAGGCACTGAAACTGTAGCCACAACAGAAGAAGAGGCCCCCACTCAATCTGAAGGGGACCCACCCCCACCTGTCACCCAGGTAGTTTACATTTCAAAACAATGTCATTGATATTGAGTTTTGTGAAGGGGTGTGTTACTGAGAAGTTTTAAATACATTTAAAGTTTTTACCAAATTGAATGATTTTGAATTTCTTGAGCAGCCTAAGAATCTCAGTGCTAGTCAGACATCATCTAGACAGTCTCTTAACATGACAGCTTCTGTAAGATCATATAGTACTTAATCCCAGTGTTTGTCCATCCCTAAAAGTCTTATAAAATATCTACTCTGAATTAAATACATGAGGTTTAGATTACCATACTTAATATGAATCAATTGTTTCCCTCTTTAAAAATGAAGGTATATAGTGATGGAGGTGTCCATCCTGCTGTCCTTTATGTTTTGGGGTACCTATCTCTTATCCACAATTCCCCTTATACCACTGACAAAAAAATTGATGAAACTTTCATGAAAATCTTAATTACATATTGCCATTGTACACCTCTTACTTTATGCATTGATTAGGTTCATTTTATGGTTTCCCATCGTATAACATGGATACTACATTCTTTCTATAATATTGGAAATACCCCCTGGTACAGCTATGCCATCCCTTATCCTCAACTCCTTCTTTACCATGACTGCATAAAATTTGAGAGTTTCACAGAATCATAGTTGCTTATAGTGACATTGTTCATCCCTTATTTGTGGATTAATCACACACATTTGGGCTTTCCAAGAGCAAAACATGGACTATACTTTTAGGATAGGAGGGATATGATGATGATATCATTTTGAGAGCTCATGTAACTGACACAGTACTTCTAGTTTTTTGTAGGTGTATCTTTGTACATGTATATATGTTGTGTACTGATATTGAAGTATCATTGTCGTTTTTTGTCCAAAATCTGCTAACAATCTTTTAAAGACTGTTGACCAGTCAGAGTTATTGCCCTTCCCTTGCATAAAGGATTCTCTTTTACAAAATTATACACAGAAAGAGAAAAACAGTATTTCTTTTTATGTTAAAAGGTAAAATCTCTTTCATAACAAAAAATACTTTCAACTTTTACTCAGAGTATAATATATCATATCAAAATTACAGTTGTATATTTTGAAAAGAGTTCTTTGTTTATACTTGTTTAATCAGTCTGAAAAAAAATAATTTTCAGAAGTACATTTCTTTTAGTTTATTAGATAATGCACTCTAACAGGTAACAAAGATATTTCATTAAAAAAATAGAATTAAATGATAGAAAAAGAATTGTTTTAGATGATAAGCATTATTAAATGGGTTTTATTGTAAAAAAAAATATCAATTTGAATTTTAATGAAGAGTCAAGAAGAAAGCCATGGAGAGAAGCAGATGCCTAAATTATCACCTACGTCTGTCGTGATGAAACTGAAACCTCCCCCCTCTATGACGGGTAAGTCAAAAATGTAGCTAGGTCAACAGGCTAATTATGGATCGTAGGCATTTTAATCTTTATGCCCCCCAAAAATTATTGATAGAAACTATTTAAAATGTATGTGGATGATTGTTTGTAATATATATGTGGTTGTAAATGGTAATTGTAAAATGATTAATTTTTATGGTTGTGGTTGGTAATTTTGAATGTTTAACAATATGGTACAGAATAGAAATAAACAACACAAGAATAACTTTTCAGAACTTAGACAAAAAGGTAATTTCTCTGTCTTATCAGTTTAAGTTACTACTTTTTATTATGCTCTGTAAATCAGACTGTGAAGCAGAGTTTTTTAATGAATGTAAATTTTGAAACTGAGAAAAAAAAATGAATGCAATATCTTGTAGCCATGGCATGGTATGCATTCAAGTCAATAGAAGAAAAATGAAATCATTGTTGGAAGAACAAATTCATGTATGGCAGAGATTTCTAAGGGCATACTATAAACCAACTATTATTTGCATCATCTTTTATTCGCAATTCGTCAGTTTGAAATCAATCTGCTACGATTTATTTTCATGAATAAGGAAACATTTTCTGTAGAAACAAAGCAAAAATAAATGGTTCGATTAATATTTGAACTTGCGAATATGTCTTGCACGTGAATAAAAGTTGGTTTACAGTAAACATTACCTGTTTTGTGCAAGAGCGTGTACGTACCACAATATACCTTTCATGTTATTAGTGAATATTGAAATTATCAGTCAAGTGTTTGAAAGGTCCAGGGACATGCTTCCTTGACCAGTCTCTACAAATGCAATTCATTTTAGCACTGCTTCACAATCTGACCATTTTGTTTTCAGCCATTCTTTTTCTTTTGTTTAGATTTTTAATTTAATTTAATTGTTTTTCAATCCTAGGTGAAGGTGATTAATTTCTCTTCTCCTTTTTCCTCCGAAATGTTTTTTCCTTGAAAATTCCCTATATATCACAAGGCCTCATTAACACCTGTTTTATTTTACATTTTCTACTTTGAAAAATTTATGATTTTATCTCACTTCATCCACAGAAGGCTACAGTGACTTTTCTGATCAAAATTTATCCTAATGGTTCACTGCCAATGTAAATTTTTCACATGTCCATGCTTATTTTCAAAATCACTTAGACATAGTTGGCACAGTTAGAGTATCTTTGGGTGAAGGGGATTCATGTTTTATTTTTTTCAAATGAAGGACATTTCCAAGGGGAGATAATTTAGAATTAGTAAAAGTTTCATTATATCCAGTACTCATATGGAGATGCCACCACTTTCCGGTGGAGAGCTGCAAATTTTGACCTTTACTTAGCACGAAAGTCATTGAGCATTGAGGGGTCTTTTTCCTGCCAGTACCTACTGCGACATGGGACCTCTGTTTATACAGTCTCATCTGAAGGACCGGTTTTCATGTCCCACAGTGGGATTCGAACCCGCAATGTAAGGACAAACTCCTTACTTCGTGACTCTAGAGCAGACGCTCTAATCACTGTGACACAAAGGCAACTTCTTATAGCACAAATAGCCAAGCCAAGATTAGTCAGAATTATGTGGAAGCGTCTTCAGGTTGTGCATATTCAAAGATTTTAATAAAAAGCATAATCAAAGGAGACGGCAAGGGGCTGCAATACGTCATAACAATTTTACAAAGGAATATAAGTATATATATAATTATAAAGGGAAATCCTGTTGATTAACAGCAGGGCAATAGTGACTCAGGTGAGCCTATAGGCCTCTTGTTCTTTAATTCATCACTGACTTTTTAAGCACATGCACTTTTTAATAACCTGCACATTTTGCATATTTTAAAAAAAATATGTTGTTGTTTAAATAAACAAATTTGTAACGTTAGTTTTTTGTTCTTCACTTCACATAAAATCTGATATTCTGAAAAATGAAGTTAATTTGCACCCACTTAAATGTGTGATCACAAACTTTTTTTTATTTTACACTGAAATATTTCATTTTTTACATACTTAGGTCATGGTTATGCCTTTCCCTTTGATTACATTTCAGCTTCCGATGTCTCTTTTTCAAAGTTATGAACATGAATTATTTGATTTTCTGACAGTTACTTTGAACTTGTGCAATTGTGACCTTTCCCAAAATGACCTTTGATCAAGATCTTGACACACCCTCAGGTCATAAGCAATCTTTGTGTAAAGTACATGTACACATGTATGAGCTTCCAATATTTTTCAAGTGCAAAGTTACGGATTATTATGTCCATTATGACTGCGAAAAGATTACATGGTGCTTCCTGTATACACCCCATGCCCCACCCCAAACTTTATTTGCTTACTTCGGGAAAAGAACCCAATAAACAATGGAATGTATTTGAATTTACACAGAAAACTAGCTATATACAGGCTGTAAGGCTTAGTTGAGATCATTAACCAAACATTGGATGTTAAATTTTTTTTACATTAAATAGAAAAATTTGAATTTTCATTTTAGAATATAAATAAAAGAGATAAAATTTTATGTGACAATTGGCAGGTAACACCTCCTCCTCAGTATATTCAGCTTGTCAGAAGGTGGACACAGGTGAGGTTGTCGGTACTGGTGTAAATCACATATTGACCCCCAGCCACAAGGAAATGAGGAAGGAAGTGTTTGCTCATCTCCATGACAACCTGATTGACTATTTACCAAAAGAGGAAGAAGCAGAATCTCTGGAGTGAGTGTTCATAGTGTAATTTGTATAAATCAGGGAATCAAATTTTCTTTCTTTAGTGTACATGTATTACTAATTTTAATGATATAGTTTGTTTGGGAACTATTTTGATAATCTTGGTAAAGATAAGAAAGAGATATTTTTGCTGTGCTCAGTGGCTTGTACAATTACTACATTAAATAACCTACATGTATCTTTTATTTTCCGACAGGGATGTCAATTTCCATTTTATGACTGCTGGGAGATTGGTTCCCTTTGGTCTGGAACAGCAAAGCCAGATAGGTATTACTTAATATTAATCTATACATTGTACAACTTTGTCTCAAATGTTAGTCAGTCAAAATCGGATTCAAATTGCTTTATTCTTTCATGGGACTTGTATTTCATTTATTATGTTTTTACCTTCTTTACACTATTTATTCTTTCTATCTGTTATACAATAATATATAAATGTCCATTCTTTTCTGTCTCACCTTGTATAATTCTTTCCTCTCCCTGACTCTATGGTAATCCTATGTTTATTTCAGGGAATGAAGATGAACTAAAGAGTAATATTTTCTAAGTCTGACAAAGCAATATCTAACCATGCTTTTATAATCCTTGCAATATACCTCAACATCTTGCTTATTTCTTTAGTTTATTAATCAAAAACTATGTACATGTAGTTATGTGTTTGTACAATATATGTAACATCTGTTGAATTTGAAAATTCATAACATACAGTTACATACAGTTGCTTTTAAAAATTACATTGTTCTAGAAATTTAGTTCCCTGCAAATCAAAGTTTAGCACCATTACACCATTATGGTTGATGAAATTCTATACACAAAAAGGTAAAAATGCATATAGATTCAGTTAATTAGAATAGTTTGATTTTATTAAGTTTAGTTTAGGACTGCCTTCCATGTAGGCAATTTATTTTAAAGAATATATATTCAGTACTTAAAAAAAAATTACATTTGTGGATCAAACAATCTACTAAATGTTAATAAAATACATAACTGTAGATCAGGTATTACGTTTTATTTTAAAATTTTGAATATTGCATAGGAAAAACTTTCAAACACTTAATTCAGATTTGCATTATATGTCATATTACAGTAATAGATATGTGTGCGTTAGCTATAATCATATTAACAATTTTTTTTTTTTCAAATAATATGCCACATAAAATGGAATGCATTTGAATTTGCTTATTTTCTAGCTATAAAATTATAGATATATTTTTACAAATTCAAAGAATTTTTTTTCCCCTTATTTCAGGATTGCCAACCACTCTAGCTGTTTGGTGGAAGGGGTCCACACATATAGTACATTACTCATTGCTCAAACAACACAAAGGTATAAATCTTAAGACAATCGAGCTTTTCTATAACATGAAGGTTTTCCTGTGTTATTTTCTTATAATTTTAATTTTAAATTGTCATCATAAATTAACTCGTAAATGTTAAAAAAAAAATAAGATTTTGAGTACTATATATTAAAGTTTATAGAAAGTAGATTTTATTTATTTTGTAGAATTATCAAAACCAAACCACTTTGTCATTATTGGAAATTGAAAAAAACTTAACATATAAACCATTAATCCCCACATTCCTTGTGGTAAGGTAATGCCTTTTTACACTGCCTTGTAGATTTTGAGGTGAAGCCTGATTTAGTCTGGCCATTCACTAGCCCCGTGACCTCGTCTGCCATCAGTGATGACTCCTCCTTATTGGCTGCTGGATTTGAAAATGGAAATGTTGTCATCTGGGACAGATATTTAGGTATATTGCTAAAGTGACACCCCCCCCCCCAAAAAAAAAATAAATAATAATGAAAAGTTCATTGTCAAAAGCATCAGGATGTAAGTTGTGACTTTGATATACCTCTTTCAGACAAGATGTTCTTATTAGCAAACATTTTACAAATAAATTGCATACTTTCAAAAAGCTTTTTATCTATGAGTAAGGATATAGGAGATGTTGGAGAGTTTCTAACTGTTACAGGTATACAGCGAGGAGTGGTGAACATCATGGACCAGGTTAAGATTGCTCAGCTGATCTTCCTAGACCCCAGCATCTGTCCCCAGACACTGGACGATTATAAACCATACAGAACCAAGTCCTCCACCTACCTACTGATTTTGTGTGACAATGGGGCCCTGTTTGTTATGATGACGGGGCCAGCCCTGGAGCTAGACCCCATTTGTGTCACCCCACGGTAAGGTACCTCTGAGAGATATTGAAGCAATTTTATTATACATGTGAACTGATGCATAATTTACCCACACACAAAAATTTAAAAACCATTTGCGAAGATTTTTGTTAATGTTCATGCAATGTACATATCACATACATGTATAACTATAATATACGTTAATTACCATACATTGTCAGATATATTTTTTTTCACAGAGTAGAAAAAGAAGATGACATATTTACAATGGTTCAGCCTGTACAAGGAATGCATGATCTGGTAAGTGTCCCATACATGTGGATAGAGTCAACCTTTGTCAAAAAATGGTGCATTTCTTGCATTAATTTTAAGATATACAAGTACATGTAATATCTAAAATTGTTAGAATAAAGTATTGATATGAAGTTACCTGTGAACTTTAATGAATTCTTCATCATTATTATCATATTAAATCATTAAGGTAATGTGTTTCTTTCTTTCTCAGCTAATAACAATCCTGAAATCAGGGAAGGTGCAGATCAGAGATACACTACAGGGGAAGGTTCTTTGTGAACCCGTTCTACCAAAGTCTCATGAACTTATGACCCCCTGGGACCCTGTGGTTGCTGTTGGAGCTATGGGACAACTTTTGTTTCTGAAAGGTAAGGGAACCAGTTTTATTTCTTTGTCATAGAAAACAGGTTTAATTTACCTTTTGTATAATAAGCAGAAAATTGTCATGGTCTATTACCATATGCTTCTTAAAAAGAATATCTTATAAATTTATATTCAAAGTGTTATTCATATGTTGATAACAGAGATCTGGCATCATCGACGTCTGTCTTGAAAATGATAATTAAGGTGATGATGGAGTTAATTAATACATGCCTGAATTAATTAAAAAGTTCTTTTAGAATATTACAGTCAACTAAAATTACAAACAGTTTGAAGCTGTTGAGCACTAATAATGCAGAAATGTTCTTTATCCAGGAAACAATAAAGACTATGGAGAGGAGGAGGGAGGGGATCAATCTGAGAGTGCGGGGGCGTTATTTGTCTATCAGATGAGGTCCTTCCCCTCCCTAGACGCCTACATGACCAAAAAGAGGGACAAAGTACAACAGACCGTCCATGCTAAAACAGAAAACAGGGTAGAGGAACTGATGAAAGAAAGGCAAGTTTCCATTGTAACCTCTAAGATCATAAGATCATGTAGTGGTTGTCCTTCTTGCTGCAAAAATAAACATTCTTATTTCTTTCTTGTTTGGTAATGAAATCTTGACATTTTTAGTCTGATTTATTAACTGCTTTCTCCAGGATTGCCATGCAGGGCCTCAGGAAATCTCGGATGCAGGAGAGATGGGGGAATTTAAAGGAGGAAATCTGGAGCATTCTCCAGTATAAGGACGAGGCAGAGAAACTGGCAGACATTAGACCTGAAGTTGTATGTATCTGTAAATATTTAACCTGTCAAATGTGGTAATAAAACAGCTTAAAAAGTATTACATTACAGTATTACTGTAGTTATTGGATACTGTTAGTATGATGTGAAAGCAAAAATGGCTTTCTAAAGCACAGAATTTATTTATAATTGAAAATGCAGATAAAGTTGTACAATCTAGATTTTTAAAGAAAAAAAAAATTTTGAAGTAAGGCCCAAAAAAATTAATTGAAAAAAATTAAAATTTTTTTTTTTTTTTTTTTTTTGATTTTTTAAGCCATTTGTTCAATAAAATGATAATATCTACTAATTCTTAATTTTTGTTTTCTGAAATTACTAGTAGTTAAAATATGTATTTAACTTTAAATAATGTTATTCCAAACATTTATTAAAATACTTTATATTTAGAAGAAATATATTGTATTTCTAATAAAAACGTCTATTTTTGCATTTATGAAAAGGGGAATAACTCAATTTTCTTTTTCAACTTTGAAAAATTGAAAATTGAGTTATTTCCCTTTTCAATATATCAAAATTTATCAATGCGGCCGTTTTTAACTGATGCGGCAGTGCCTGAGAAACTACTTATTAATTTTTTTTTTGGCCTAATATTTTGAAAATTATTTTTTGTATTTCAGCATTACAAGTATGTGAGGAATTTCTCTCAGGTGTGTATCAACATATTGAATTCAAAGTAAAACTACCTAAAAATGCAAATATTTAAAACATTAAAGTTTATATGCTTATGAAGACTAATGTTTGTTTAAATAACATGTGTAAGCAAGAAATATTGAAAGTAGGTAAGACCATCTTTAAAAAATTGTTTGCTTGCCCTATCCCGAATGACTGACTAAAAATGGCCGGACACAAAACTTCTTTTACTTGCAGAAAGCAATTATTTTTATATGTACTCCGGAAAATATTTTTTAAAATAAAAGCATTGAAATTGAATTGTATTAAGTTTTCTGAGAAAAGAAATCTCTCACCTACCTACCGACCCAATATTTTGAGACCCAGTCGGTGAGGCAAGCAAACATTATTCTAAACTTGGCTTAAAAAGTGATTTTTTAATCCAAATGCTGTATTGGCATTAGCATTTTTAGGATTGTTATTAAATCATTAAAGTAGGACTGATAGCTGTATATTCTGTTTTAATTCTGACGAAAATACCCCAGAGCAGAGCAGGTATTATTATCAGGCAATAAAACAGAGTAGACGGTCTACTTATTTAACAGTGCATCCATGCATTTTTGAGTTACCACTAGGTCATTTTGTGAGGAAATGTAACAATTTTTACATGGGATACTAACATTCCCTCAAATGTCAAATGAATTTTTTGTCCTAAAATCAAATTAACCTTTACAATGCCAGTCACTTTATCACAAAATAAAATTCTAAATTGCATAACCATAACCAACAAATATCTCTTTCAGTGAAAAAAAGAGTTATCATTGTGGATTATTGTATGATATCAGGTTTGTTTTTAACACAGCTAGGGCCTCTTGGATGTTGTATAGCCTGCCTGCTTTTTCTTCACTATATATAGCTATATGCTTTTTCATTGATTAAGTGAAAAACTTTCACATTTTCGTAGACATGCATATACATGTACCTATAAGCATTAAAAAAAATTTCTGTCGTCAGCATGTCTTGTAATAATATTTTCATGTTCTAAATTTTTAATTTACTGGATGGGAGTAAATTTAGAATTTAGAGCATGGCATTATATCTGTACTTTACACAGATTTACTATTATTTTCATGCACAAATTATTGTGGAGTTCAGAGATGAACACTCCCATTTCTGTTTTTAATTTTAATTTTTTCGCCTAATTATTCCATACTTTATACAATATGATTGTATTGAAACTGAAAAACTCTCAGCTAATCCTGTAACTAATAAACATTATAATGAAACTGAAAACCGGTCAGCAAATTTAGTATCTAAAAAGGTCGTCCCTACAAAAGATTTTTTGAATCAAAGCTATGTTTTTAAATTTTTTCAATAAAAATATAATACACACTCGATTAAACGCAAGTAAAGAAATATATAGCTACTTATGTAGAATAGTTTTTTTCCCTGCTGCATGCTAAATGACATCTTTTATTTCAATTTTATTTCACAGTCTTTCAATTAGAATAGATTGGTCTATTTGTCACCACTCAGCTCTGTTTCCTTTTTTTCTTCATTCCTTTGGTTTCACTGCTTTAGACTGGACGCCGCAATTATAATTACAGGCGACAATAAGTTGTGTTTTGTAATGTGTTTGATTTATAGGAAACACATGGGACTTGCAATTTTCCTGCTCAGTAAATTTGGCGCGACACAATCGAAAAAATGTGTGCTATATGGAATTGGTTTTTATTTTGGAGCAGAGTGAAAGTGTAATATAACCAACATGAATGGACGGAAATGCTTGAAGTTAAGATCTGCGTCCAAAAATATGTGTGTTAGAACAATCGTTTCATTGACAGGTGGCCAATAAATGTTGATTAATTTCTTCAAAGTACTGAACTGACACAGTTCACAGCCCTTCGTCGAGTTTATTTCTGTCGTAAATTACCGACAATGTTGTTTCTCTCTATTTGGCATAGCCACCCGCTATTGTCAGGGGGTATGTATGTTCCAAAAGTTAATTTCGTTACCAAAAGATACATGAGTGCTTTAATTGCATCCTGAGCTTGACGCCCACGCTTAATGATGTTAGTTTTTCTTTTAAAAGTATAGCAAAATTATAAATTTAAACAAATGTGCAAGATATATATTTTCATTTTTTTTTCGGGGATGGGAGTGGTTAGCTATTTAGACAACAAATGCAATAAGTTAAAGTCATTGGTCCGTAGCTTTGTATAAGGAGAAACTAGCTATCTGTATATCTATCCTTCAAAATTCAAACTGATTTATTTTTTTTTATTAACCCTAGATTTTATACAACAGGAGAGCTTAAGTTACTTACAGTTTTAATCAAAGGCCATTCCAAGTTTTTCTTTGTTTAGCGTCCTTATTGGTCTTGGTATTTGACTCCCCGTATCGTTAAAAAACGAAATCAAGAGTCCTGTAATTCATTATTTAGTTCAAAATCTCCAAAACTTATGTCAATATCTCTAAGTATTGTCTACAAAATATAAATTTCATAAGTCGTATCATTTTTGCATGATTGAAATAAAATCTCGTACGAAGTTTATATGAATATTTCATATTTCATTTTGCACATGTGTTTATAAATATTTTGAACCCCTTTTCGTTTTTTTTTTTTTCACATACGGATCAAACACATTTTTTTCATTTATTAGTTCTTCTATACTAGAATGCACACCAACAAATAAAAAGAAATTTTGTTTATTTCAGACACCAGGATCAATGGGATGGACACCATTTTTCCAGAAATAAAGATGAAGTGTTTAGAAATATTTTTATGTATGACTTTTTAACCAAATTTTCCGTCCAGTGTGATATTTCTTAATTTATGGTTACCTGTAAATAAATTGTTATAATGTATCCCCTTTTACTTATTTGTACACTCAATTACATGGACATCCTTAACAAAATTTTAACAGAATACCCAGTTTGAACACGCGTATCTATGATTTTAATACCCAGACGTCCTCTGAAGGTAACGAATGGTGGATTGAATTATATATAAATTTAACTTTTCATAAAAGTAAGATTGATTGATTGTATATTGTTTAGCGTCCCTCTCGAGATTTTTTCACTCATATGGAGAGGCCACCACTTGTCGGTGGAGAGCTGCAAATTTTGACCTATGCTCGGCACTTAGGGCCATTCGTGCCAGCACCTACTGCGACACGGGACCTCGGTTTATACAGTCTCATCCGAAGGACCGGTCTCCACGTCCCACAGTGGGATTTGAGATCAACTCCTTACTTCGCGACTCTAGAGCAGACGCTCTAACCACTGTGCCACGCGGGCGACCATAAAAGTAAGAGAAGTTGTCTAAATGCAAAGGTATAAGTAAGAGAAGTTGTGTAAAATGCAAATGTACTATTAGCGTGCGGGAGTTAAAATGACGTCACAATCAGTTATTGTCAATAACGTAACAGTTTCATGACGTCATAATGGTGAAATGGAAGCATAACAACGAGTATGGAATATGGCTTCCTTTTCAAGAGCCCAACAATCTAATCCCAGAACGCGAAAAACAGCTTGTTATTCATACAAAGAATTGTTAATTGAAAGACGCCGGCAGAATAAAGTAGTCGAGGAACGCGGACGGAGGACAAAAAACGTTCAAAATCTGTCAGAAACTGTCCTGAATGGATTGGAAGTGCTTTGGCGGCAGAATATTTTGTGTGATATTATTCTAATTTGCCAGGGACGAGCATTTGATGCCCATCGTTCACTTTTGGTCACTTGCTCTGATTACTTTTACAATATTTTCGTCGATCAGCTTTACGATGAAAGAGAACTGGACATCAGTCATCTTGAAATCGAAGCAAATATATTTCAGAATGTATTGTTATGTATGTACACAGGAAAACTGCAAGTATCGGAAGAGGCCATAGAAGGAACCCTGCATGCTGCGTCTCGACTGGGCTTTTATCTGATACAGGACGCGTGCGAAGAATTTCTAGTAGAAAACACACGTCTGAAAAATTGTCTGAAAATGCTTGATAGAGCTTTCAATTTTAATCTGGACAAATTAACAGAAAAGGCTTTAGAATTAGCGGCAAAATATTTTAAAGTAATTTCAAAAAGATCAAGTTTTAAAGAGCTACCGGTTGAACAGATGATTGCCTTATTGAAGGTTTGTAACTTCTGTTTAATGACATGATAATCTAAAGTGTAGGGGAACTATGGATGTATCTGCAGGTAATTTATGTTTGCTCTTTTTTTCTCTCTGGATGAAACCGTAAAATGTAATTTCCTTTTATGAGACCAATTCAGGTAACTAAATGAGCAAGAACTATGCAAAAACGAGGCATATAAAAACAGGAGATTGAGCCACATGCCCAATGGGCCCTGATTGGTAATAAATTCTATTCTATATCTCCAATTTAAATAAAATCAAGAACAATTTCATTTTCATACTTCGTTCGTAAAAAAAAAAACGCACTTCGTTTAGAATTTGATTTTATTCATAATTGGCCAAATGGCCTCAGGAAAATTTTAATATATAAAGACGAAAGAGATTCCTATAAAATTTAGCTTATGCAGACTAGGTTATTCTAGATTGGGCCATTACAAAAAAAAAATACAGTAGTTTCGAATTTTTAAAAGTTATATATATGAGAAAAACATGAAAACCCCTTGTAGAAAATTTCAGTAGTGAAATTAATAAATGCAGCTGTTCTTAGGTTTTTTTAAAGTCTTGAAATATCTTTGGAATAATAATTTGCTTACTGGTTCCCTTTAGTGATCTGTCTGTCCGTTTGTCCGGAAAATGTCGGAAATTTCTCTCACCTTGTCCCAAATATCTACCGTAAAGTACCCATGTGCTTAGGGAGAGAAGTAACAGTGATCACATTTTCTACACGGAGAAAAAATCTTGTGTAAAATCCTATTCCAGAGATTTTTTTTCATGTTTCCTTTGCCTTATCTTATCCAAAGTTCATTTTAAGGGGTCTGTGGAAAAGTGTATTGATCTTGAACTAAACTCTTTTAATTCGAGGTGAAAAATATCCCTGAGTAAAATCGTTGTCTGGATGATATTTTCTCCCTCCTTGCCCAAACATCTTGCTCCAACTTCAACCACGGTATTTGTAAGTAGAGGGTTAAATCCAAGTGTCTAGATCGCAAGTCAAGGACATAGAAGATCTGGTGCCTTTTTTTCTCCTTTGGTTTTATTCTGCGTATATTTAACGCATAGTGTACTGGTATATAAAGGCTAAATCAAAAGTCATGATCAATGCAGACTTTCATGTAAATTCCTTGTAAGGTGCGTTATATTCTTTCTCCTTTGTCCAATCTGAATCACACTGTCTTTGATTAACTGATCTTTAACTAAGCCTTAAATTAGCCTTTCAAATGACGGTCTGCTATAATAAAATCAACGAAATTAAAATATGTTAATCATGTGTTAATAACACGATTAAAGCGAACACGCTTTTCACGAACTCTCACAAATAAATATAGTGAAGTGATTTTCATTTGATCCATGTTGTTTGAAAACCTATGAGGAATATATCATATACAATGTATTATGTTTATAACGAATCAAAATTGTTTATAATCTTTTGTTATAAACGACTTTTCCTGAACTTATGTTAACATAGCTTTATTTTCTCTTTAGAGAGATGATCTGAATGTAGAAAGTGAGCTCGAAGTTTTCAAACGATTTATAGAATGGCTGGAGCACAGGAAAAAAGAACGCATCCCACATGCCGCTGAACTTATGGCCACCATTCGACTCCCTCTTCTTTCACCTGCCGCCATTATGGATTCTGTGGAAAGCATCGGTTATCTAATGGAAATCCCAGAATGCCAAGGACTTGTTAAAGAGGCGCTTCATTATCACTGTATTCCATACAGACAAACAGTTCTACAGGTTGGCATTCAGCTCACCTTTTCTCCGCAATATAATTTTCCACAGAGATCATAGCAATCTCCAAAATTTGCTATAAAAAATCATATCTCAATAAGCCAAGTTCTAATGAGTAAACATTCCTTCAACTGATTGTTTAACGTCCCTTCAAGAATATTGAGACACCACCACTTACTTGTGGAAAGCTGCAAATTTAGATCTGCACTCTAATCCCTTAATCTTCTTTAGCCAGTTAGGGTTTCTGATACGCTTACTCTCGTTTATGAGGAGATTAGGATATCCTTAGTCTGTGACTCTAGAGGAAACACTAGGATTCTTTTAAATTCAAAAATGAAATATATGGAGATAACGAACAGTATTCAAGCTCAAAAGTCCATTAAACAATACAAAATAGGAGCAGAGAAAACACGGAACTCCAAAACATCAGAGGTGGGATCAGGTGGTATAAAGGAGTGAGCATCTCCCGCCGACCGGTCACATTCGTCGTGTGCTCCTTAATTGTCATAATAGGGAAATGATATAATTCAATAATGAATACTTATCTCGATAATAATAAGTTTTATATTCAGAGACAGTATACATATTTTTTAACATTTCTTTTACAGTCTCCGCGTACGGCTCCCAGAAATCAACATGTCTCTAATCTTTTGGTGGTCATTGGAGGTGCTCCGAGATACAAGTGTGATTCGGTCAATGATGACGTCATGGCATTCAATTTGTCATCAAACACTTGGAAATCTGTAGCCACCTTACCGGAACCACGACATCATCATGCAAGTAAGTTTTCAGAGAACCTTTACAAAGAAGATGCTTCCAAAGGGTGACACGGCTTTACTAGTATGTTGTAACACTTAACACGACATGTTAACTTTTCCAACAATCACCCATCTTCTTTTGTTTCACTTGGAACTATTTCAAAATAAGCCTGGTTAAGAAACATCTGCGTAAACTGGATCACAGGTCGACCATTCCTGAGAATTCTTCAAGTAATTCTTGTCGAAGAAAAGACATATGAAAGCCCTATCTCTTCTCAATCAAAAGTTAAAAGGAACAAAATGCGTTTGTGAAACACTGATGACCCCGTATGGCAACAAAGCGAAGATTAAACTTTTCTTAAATGCAAATTAAATATATTGATACCCAAATTTTAAAACGTAGGTCAAACTCCAAGGTCAAGGTAAAAGGGTCAAAGTTCTTGGTATCCAATGAAAGGTGTTCTCACAAGGATTACTTATGTGAAGTATGAAAGCCCTAGCCCTTACCATTCAAAAGTTATGGCCAAGGTTAAAGTTTGTAAAAAGTAGGTCAAACTCCAAGGTCAAGGTCAAAGGGTGTAAATGCTTGATATCCAATGAAAGGACTTGTCACAAGGATTTAATATTTAAAGTATGAAAGCCCTAGCCCTAACCCTTCAAAAGTTATGGCCAAGGTTAAATTTTTTTTTAAAAAATGGGCAAACTCCAAGGTCAAGGCCAGAAGGTCAAAGTTCTTGTTATCCCATGAAAGGACTTCTCACAAGGATTACATATGTGAAGTATGAAAGCCCTAGCCCTTACCGTTTTAAAGTTATGGCCAAGGTTAAAGTTTTTTCATAAGTACGGAAATCTCCAAGGTTAGGGTCAAAAGGTCAAAGTTGTTGATATCCCTTGAAAGGTCTTGCCACAAAGAATGCAAATGTGAAATATAAAAGCCCTAGTATCTACCGTTCAAAAGTTATGGCCAAAGTAAAAATTTAAAATTTTTGTGTAAAAGAGGGTCAAACTCGAAGATCAAGGTCAAAAGGTCAAATTTGTTGAAAGGTCTTGTCACAAGGAATACACATGTGAAATATGAAAGTCATAGCTCCACTAAATCAAAAGTTATGGGCAAGGTTAAAGTTTATGTGAAATATAAAAGCATACTGACAGACAGACAAAAACTTTTCGCGAAAAAAAACTAAAAAAAAACGAGAAGCTTCTTAATTTTTAACTTTAGTGTACAAAAAATGTCCTTGAATGGCAAGTACCAGTTATATACCTGTTCAACTTAGATAAAAGAAATAATGGTAGTTGAAAAACATGTTGCCTTAAAAATTAGTGTGACAAAAAAATCAAGGTCAGGCAAGCATTATATATTCTTGATATATGTACTAGTATATTACAATGTACACGTACATGAAAAATGGATGAGAGTTCAACTTTTTTGATTTACTACAAATGTTAATTCCGAATATAAGAAAACATCATGACCAGGATGTGTCATCGTCGCAAACCACGGCCAGAATGTACAGTCCTCTTCCATTCTGGCCGTGGTTGAACGAGGAGAGAATTATTCTTCGTAGCTCATTAAAAAATTGACCAATGCGAGTAAAGCATAGTCGGATGATAAGCTTTATCGCGACCTCTCAATATCCAATCGCAGTGAAGGAAATATTTCTGGTATACTATTGACGTCAGTTGTTGATTTCAATTGCGATGAAAACAAAACTTGCCACTGACTGATGTCACAATAGAGAGGCGTGAATATTCAAGATTACGACACTTTTTATGTCAAGCAGCCACGAGTAGGAGAGAGCTCTATGCGGACTCCGGACCGTGGCTTGAGACGTTGAGGGTGGGTCTTATATTGAAATTTATTATAGTAAATCATTTCGCTCCTTAACTTCTAGGTTACAAGCCACTTGAACCTGATATATGATTTACGAGTCCTCATTAAGTGGCCAAATGTCACAAAAGCCCAGATCAGTTCTTACTTCAAGTGGGCTCACATACTAACTAGCCTTTGTCCCTTGTTTCGAGATTTCCCTTGACTTTGTAATTGTTATACAAAGTTATGGTGAACGTTTCTATGAGTATAACCACAACATATGACCATATTAGGGATATTTGTAAACAAACGTAATCAATATTTCAAGTAATCCGATAGCTTAATTAATGAACTGTCGTATGTTGGGATTTCAGTTTGACAATGATTGTCTGCTGAGTTCAATTTGGTCTTTATTGTTTCTGTCAAAAATTTAAAAATCTTCCCGCCATGAAGAAAGAAGCAAACAAGGAAAGAAAAACATAAGCAAGAACTGAAGGCCTGTTACTAAATATAAATTTATTTTTGAAATTAAATGCGAAGCACTATGTTTTATAACCCTATTAATAACACAGGTGGTAGATTCTTCATGTTAAAACAATTCATTTGACCATATTTCAATATTTAACAAAAGGTCCTTGAGACAATTTAGGAAAAAATGTAAGGTTGTAAGGTTAGAAAAATGCATTATGTTTCGTCAACAACTAAACCCATGCAAAAATTAAATACGGTAAAAAATGAATAAATAAATAAAACGTTAAATGCGAAACTGGCATAAACTTCATAAGCAAATAATACAATCATAAGAAAATCAGAATCTGATTGGTCGAGTAGATCACGTGACCAATGATGAACTTACCAAAATTGTAGCTATCTCGTATCATTTTTAACATGTTTAAGAAGAACGTGGTGTACTGTGAGCAATATAAAAATCATTGTATGCCATAGGACTTTATTGCTTAAAATTGTCTTCTATTACATGTAAATGTGATGTGACTTATAAACTTATTTACATGAGCATTGCTTAGCATTTTGTTAGAATGCTATCTTAAATGATGAACATTTCACATGATATTTAACCGTGAGCTTTAGATTTGCGACAGGGTGAAGCAAAAGTGTCAGTTTTAGTTGTTTGATTTATCGCTACAGAGTGCGAGTGTTATTGCTTCGTAACAATTAAATAGATTTATCAATATGAGAAAATTGGACATTAGTCAGATAACGTGAAAATTACCTGGGTTCAGAGCCACCCCCGCTCCAAACTTAAAGTGTATCGGGTGACTAGATTATGAAGAACTCGTTAATTCATGAAACCAAGTATCCTTGTAATTATATTGGAATTAATATTACTAAACAATTGAAGGATTATCGCAGTTAGAGAGAGAAAAGAAATGTAATAGGTTTATTGTTGCAGCTTGCGTATTGGTCCGTCTGGGAAATATCTCTCTCTCTGATGAAAAAATACACGGAAAACTGTCTGATACAATACCGCATACCAGGGTTTTCTGTAAATAGAAAATCACCCATTGATTTAACTCCAATTATAATGTTTCCGTCTTTCCTATGCCTGTATTTAACTATTATATCTGTATTTGTTTTTGTTTTGTTTACTTAATTTTTTTCCAAACTCTGCTGAAAAAATAACCTATAAATAACTTATAAATATAAAAATAACTTCAAATTGGTAAAAACACCATTGATTGGTTGATATCCAAATTAAAACTGCTGCCATTGGTATGGACGTTTCCTTGAAATAAACCAAATATTTTCATGGAAATGTTTGCTAAACATAAATACTAGTACCAGCTATTTTTTTTGTGTAAACAAAAGTTCCCCAGCAAATATATGTTACATTTAAGTTTTAGAATTCAGAAAAATTAAAACTAACTGTAACGATGAAAAATATTATACAAATTTATACTTCATACTATAGTTAAAGAGATTAATCTTTATATAATTATTATTTTTACCATGTTTATTTCTCAAGCATAAACCATACTTAACAGTGAAAACAATTATTTGCAGAAGCAAAAATTGTTTATTTTATAAATGAAGTTTCACAATAATTGCTGGTACAAAAATGGTTCATTTTATAATTAAACTTTCACAATAAAATGTTAAAGCAACTTTTATCTGATTAGCTAATGTTAATTATTTAATACGACTTTAACGTTAAACTACGACTTAAGAAGAAACAAAATTCACAAAAGTTATAAGAAAAGATGTGCATTAGCTTATGAGGCATTAAAATCAGAATGTAGTTTATACTTTTAACTGTAAAATTTTGCGATTTGTATACCTCTTTTAAGACATTATTGTAAGTTATACTTGAAAATTCAACTGCCACCACATTTTAAAATTTTCACATTCTTTGATCTCAGGTACTATGTTTGGAGGCTTCTTGTACATTGCTGGTGGCGAGAGATATAACAACAGTATGACACCTGTTAACAGCGTCTTCCGGTATGATCCGAGAAATGGCGACTGGTTGAAAGTAGCCAACATGAAACACAATCGCCAGAGCTTTAGTTTGGCCGTTCTTAACAACATGATGTATGCAGTAGGTAATGTTCATTTATGTTCTCCAGTGTAATTTAACTAATTTTACAAGTATCTTATTCGGACCTGTTAAGGAACATCTTTGTCAATCGGATATGAGAAAATAATTGCAAGTGTAATTTTTTTTTCTATATGGTACAGGCGTTATTCATACAAGTAAAAGTAAAAAAAATCCTTTTCAAAAGTAAAAAAAAAATAAACGAAGCATTTCAATGAATGAAAGATTAAAATTTCATAAAAGACTACAAATTATTGTCTGGCGTAAAAGTATAGGACTAGACTTCTCCATTTCTCTCTATCTTGAGCATTTCTCTCCAGTTCTCAAGTTAGTTTGTGGTCCCTCATTTCGTTGTCAACAGTCCTTCGCCAGGTGGTCTTTGGCCGACCAGGTTTCCTCTTCCCCTCCGGTGTCCACCTAAGGGCTACTTTGGTGATGTTGTTGGCTGGCTTCCTCAACACATGCCCTATCCATCACCATCTCCGTTTCATCAACAAAGTTCACATGTCGTCTGTGTTTGTCTTCTCATGGAGTTCCACATTGGAAATTTTATTAGGCCAGAAAATCCTCATGATCTTTTTGAGGCATCCATTGTGGAAACTAGAAAGTCTGCATATGTCTCCTGTCATTCTTCATATTTCAAATTCACTGGGATATATCAAACCGACATATGAATGAAAATACCTATTGTTTATTCATATGTCATTGTCGATATATCTGAATGTCTTGTTTTCTTATCCTCATATCAATAGAAATTTTTGAATGAATCTTACTTCACAGGAATATAAAAAAGGCAAACGAAGGAGCACAATTAGTGTCTATGGAAATTCAAACAGTTTTTAAGAAGACCTGGTCTCCAAGGACTACATAAACGTTTTCGGTGAGGAACTCGAGCATCCCTCTAATACCTTCGGTGTCAATTTTAGAGTTACTTGTGTGTAGAATTCATGTGAATTTTAGTTTTATTTTACCATGTTATATTTTTGTCATGTTGTAAATTTTGAATTTACCAGGTGGCAGTAAATATAAAATTTACAACATGAAATTTTGTATTTACTGCCACCCGGTAAATTCAAAATTTACAACATGACATTTTGTTGATGTCAGACCAATCACAAGATAGTAAAATTTCCGACTCCCGTTTTTCTTTAATGTAAGAAGCAGTTGTCTATCACATCAAAGAGCCCTGTTACTAATTTATTTTGAGGAATGGTTGAATAAAGAGCAGGAAAAAAAAGTTCTTTTTCAGTACGACATGAGTAAAAAATATTCATGTAGGTGTTTTATTGACCTGCATTCTTTATAACAGATTTCTGGTACTCTTTTCTAAAATAAAATGTACTAGTCAAAAATTGTCGTTTGACCGGTTAATACTATAATTGCATTTAACTAAGTAATTTAATTTTCAGAGAAATTTGACTTTCTTTAACAAGTATTGTTCAAGATAGCTTATATTTAAAAAAAATCTAGAATTATAGTAAAATAAAAAGAAAACAAAAGTAAATTTAATTGACAAATAGTTCTCGAATATAAATGTTATCTCAAAATGAACATGATCAAGCAATTGACATATCATATTACACTTCTTACAATTCATCATTAGAAAAGAACACAAATGTCTGTAAAATCATTAGAATGTTATTATCCTGTAAAATTGCCAATCTACATTTTTCAGCAAAATATGTGCATTTATTGAAGTATTATATTTATCAATTTGTTAATTTTCGGTAGTCTCGACTGTCCTTTGTAAATTATATATTTTATCCAACGCAGCATATTTTTGCAGGAACAAAAAAATGGTAAATTTAATAATCTTTACGTGATACATAAATTTTGTCGATAACATGCCATTTCCCATTGTAAGTAAATCATTTCCAGAACACGTGCTGCATTATCCAGAAATTTTACCTTTCATCTTTTTGTCCTCTTATAAGTTTTTGGCGACATGAACGGATGCAGAATCAAATAATTTCAAACGGTTCTTAATTTGTTTGATGAATGAAATAAAACAATACAAACCTAGGTGTTTCAATTCCGGAGTGTAAGGTACATTTTATGCAGGATATCACGTAACAATCCCCATAAGGAAATAACCTCTTGCACTGTTTAGTTCAAGAAGGCTTAAAAAGTTTTTACTGAGTAGACTCTTACTCCTTCTCTTTCGTAAGTATAAATGAAATTTTAAAAAAACGCATTATCTGAAAGTTCTGCATGCTTTGATATAAAAGGATTTCTACCGGGGATCCGTTAACTTCTGATTGCTTCAGTAAAGAAACTAAATTTCAAAATTACAAATGTATATGTCCAGTTCAAGTTATTTAAAATATTCAAAACCTTTAGATGACAATTCAAATTTTGCACTACGCAAAATTAGATGGAGCTCCTCATATTTTAGCAAAACAATTAACAGTTACTATCGAAATATCAATGTACAGTATGCATTTTTATCAGTTTATCACCTTTAAGGAATATTAGTAAACTTGTATATAGTAACAGTAGTAGAAACAGTAGTATAACAAAAAAGTTGAAATATCTGTAAAAAAAAAAAAATAAATAAAAATTACGATTTAATTGTATGGTATACAGGTGTATTTGAATTAAAGAATGCAAATTGTAAAACGTTTGATTGAAAACTGCTCTGGAAATTCTCAACAAAAAAAGATTTTTATTTCTTATATTGGAAGGATAAAAAAGAAAATTCTCAAAATGTACAGAACTGATTTATTCAATAATACATATATGTTAACTTTTGCTTTACATATTTTAATAGCGGAATTTTATACACTGGGAAAATTCAATGCAAGATTCAAATAACATTCTTAAAATAAATTATAACGCCACAACAAATTTTAGCCAAAAGTGCAAATCCATCGAAAAGTTAAAATAAAAGTTTTATGTCAGCCTGAAATTGCCATGATTTGACCATATTTCTCAACATTTACATCACTGGCTCAAACTTTTTATCACATTTTTTTAAATTAGAGCATACTCTCTCATTATGAAAGACTTAAGAAAATATATTATTGAAACATATGGAGATAACGAACTGTATTCAAGCTCAAAAGTCCATAAAACAATTCAAAATAGGAGCAGAGCAAACACGGACCTCCAAAACAACAGAGGTGGGCTTGAGTGTTTAGATTTTTAAGACGCAAAACATGATATTTCATAATTGCAAAAAATCAATAATAAACTAACATGTATGGAATATGATTGAGGTAGGTAATTATACATAAAAATGATAATTAAAGTGCATATTGAACTCCGATTGTCCTTCAAGAGTGCTTTGCTTTACTCAAACAATCTAAAAGTATACAGAACAAATATCTTTGAAATCGCCAGTGTTCTATAATGCTCCACCAAGTCCTTATCTTTATCTCTGACGGAAGTATTAACTGAAGTAGGCCCTAAAGGAGAAAATTCAGACGTACTATGCTACAGCTTATTTTAGAAATGTTAACATCGGATGTTGAATTTTTTAAAGAGCCTGTAAAATCATCAAATCGGATATTGAAATTTTTTTTTAATAGACTTTTTAAAATCACCAAATCGGATGTTGAAATTTTTAAGAGTTTTTAAAATCACCAAATTTTTCAAAAGTCTATTACATCAAAACTCATTACCTTTCTTCACCTTATACAACAAAAGTAAAATCAAAATCTAGACTTTCTGATATAGGAAACTGCTTTTTGAATAAAAACGGAACTTGGAAATTTTCATATCTTTCGATTGGTCATCAGCAAAATTACATTGTCATAAAAAACATTCTGATTGAACACACAAGTACTCTGAAGTTAAACTTAAACGGATGTTGGAGTTCCTCATTATGATAACATTTTGGAGTCTTCCAAGACCAAGATTTTCGACAAACTGTTGAAATTCCAATGACCACCAAATTTGCTCCCTTATTAGCTGGCCTGTTTTTATATTCCTATAACGAATAATTTATTCGAAAACTTTTACACAAAAATAAAACACTAGCTGTGGCCTTCAATTCGACATTCAGATGTACCGCCGATGTTTTATCAATCAACAAGTTATTTTCTTGCCCTGTTCACACGGAGAGTTTAATTCGAATTAAACGTAAAGTTACTGCGAATTAGCTTCGCTTAGCGTTCACACGGAGAATTTAATGCGAATTAGCTAATTCGAATTAGTTAACTGCGCATTAAATTACTTCGCATTAGCTCCGTGTGAACGCTAAGCGAAGCTAATTCGTACGGAAACGTATAACCGACTCGTGTTGTTGTATTAGAACGCAATATTATGATATAAAAATGTTGTCAAATACTATAACTTCTAGCTTTGGCGATTTAATTATGACGACAATCTCTGGTGATTAATACTTTTCTGATATGTTTTAAACGACTTATACACTTTGATAAATCCAAGTTGAATTCCTAAATGTCGCACATAAAATGATGTGTAAACATTATGCCGCTTAAATTAGATATCGCAGACATAACTGCAATATATCATACTAGTCTAGTATATGAAGACTTCGCTTAGACGACTTGTTTTAATCAAAGAGAAAAATTTAACAAAATTCGAACGACTTGTAACATCAGATTTATACCAGATACAAAATTTTATCAGTCCAATTTGGGCCACTGGAGGAGAAAAAACAGATTTACAAACAAAAGAGGGAGGAGGATCCAATTGATTGAACAAACATGATCTTACATATAATGAGACTCAGAGCAATTGATAAAAACGTATATAAGAGAATACTGAATATACATGTATATTCAGTATATGTTATAATTACATTATACATGTAGTCAAGGGCAAGCAACTGGGAAAAAAGTACATATATGCACATTAAAATATCTTCAATTAAGGTAGATTACGCAGGAATCTAGCAAGTGATCTAAGGATGTAAGGGTCTTCGTTAGTCATGAGTCAATCAAATTGATTATCATAAGATTAAGACTGAACAATTTTACATTTAATTTTACAAACATTTATGAAATCAAGTCTTTGTACAATAAGAAGCAGAGGACAGAC